GATTTTTCCTTTTCTTTGTACACTGCTGGTTTCAGTTTGTTAATACTTTATTTTGGATTCTTTGTTTATACTCCCAGTGTGTCAGAGTTTATGCTTAGTCCCGACCGGTTCAACAGATAAACACAGCTGAGACCCAGAGTAACCCAGGCTGACCCCTTAGCTTTTTCCTTTCCATTTCAAAGCCCCACTCTGTCTTCCACCCTGTCCTCTCCTCCACTAACCCATCCAGCAACTCCAGGGACACTTTCCTGCCTGTGAATAAATTACTTTCCCGGCAAACCCCGCCCCCTTCCCATGCACGCTCACGGGCGCACACACACACTCCAAAAGCTTGTGATATGTACTGATTAACTACAAAAGGGTGACTGTGGCGGACTGTGTGAACTCTCAGGGTAATCTCATCCGCCGCTCCCAGAAAGTCTCCACCATCCAGGAAAGGCCCCCTGGCACGTCTGGCTCCCCCACTGTCAGACTACTGCTCTCTCTTCCTTTGGCTGCTCCCGGGACTGAAGCAGATGCCGAGAGTTCAGGTGTCAGGGCTGCTCCTCTAGGACCCCGGTCTGCTGTCACCTCCATCGGCACCGGAATCTGTCGCTTCAGTGAGTACCTGGTCTGTCTCCTATCGGAAGGTTTGCTGAGCTGGTGCATGCGCTTTGAGGCAAAGATAACAAACAAGCAAACAAAAGCAACAGATGAAAATGCCCTCGCTGAAGTCTGGGCAGCACGGCGCCCGACAGGATGCCTTAGCTGTTGTGCATATTTTATGGGGTGACTGGGAGTGTGGACATACAAAAACCTGTGAACACAGCATGAGTTGTTTGTTTTAAGCCTTTTGGTGCCATTTAATTTTTTTAAACCTATGTGCATATGTTCACTTGATTAAATATTCAATTGAGTCTGAGTAGCAGCTGAGTTTCTCACTGTGCTGTGTCCTCAGCTCCACCCCCTGCCCACGGCAGGTCAGAAGCCATGTGCACCATCCGGAAGGTATGCAGGCCACCTCTAGGAGGCTTTGGCAAACGTGCAAACCATTAGTGGGTAAAGGGAAGCCCCCCAAATCCTGGATAGAAGTGTGCAGCAGGGTCTTGTTAGGGCTGAGGAGAGTTAGGGGCTTCTCCTTGCTTTTGGGCTGCATTTGCCAAATCCTACTATTGCTTGGATTACTCAGTGCAGAGATACTTGGGCACTTCCGTGTTTATGGATGTAGGGCCTGCATTTCAAATGAGACCTTAAAGTATTTCTAAAGCCCACCTGACCAACCATGGTGCTGTCTTCCTTAGAAGTCTTCTGGGGCTCAGGGTAAAGGTCTGGACTCACACTAGGAAAGTTATCGTAGCTTTTCACCAGCAAATGATGGAAACCTGGAAAACGGATATTTTGTGACGCTAAGGTCACTGAAAAGAGAGAAACGTCACTTTGTTGGGAGAAGGCAGTCTTCGGTTTTGACGGGAGAAGGGCAGTGTTTTCTCTGGGTAGAACAAAACAGGTGAGCTCATTTCAAGGTCTGAATGAATGGTCAGTTTTCTTTTCAATGTCTGTTTGAAAGTGGCTGGGGAAAGAAATAGTGTCAGTTTTGCATCTGAATTGCGAAGTGATGAAACAGTGCAGATGATGATCAATAGGGGACTGGTTTAGGGAATCCTGGTGCAAGCTGTCCATTGGAATGCCAAGCAACTGTTAAAAAACGAAAAATCAGAAGGAAACAGATATCTGTGTACTGATATGCAAGACCACAAATTCATTGTAAAAACTTTTTAATGGACAAAATAGTGAATATTATAGGCTACCTGTTGTGTAAAAGGGGTTGATAAATAAGAATCTGTGGTCATGTGAGTTGAATACACATAAACTCTGAAAAGAGACTGGAAATCCTAGGAGGGCCCTGTGGGATGAGGGGTGGGCCTGGCCGCTGCCCGGTGGGGCTGGGGGCAGACGCCTCACTGTCCCTTCTCTGTTTTCTGAACTGTTGGATGGCATTACCCACAAAACTAAAAATGGAGAAAAGTGATAGATAAAAACTCAGTGATGATCACTTCACTTCTTCCTTTGGTTGAAGGAAGCCTGGCGCCAACTCTGTCCGAGGGGTCCCTGCTGCCCCATGACTACTGCTCCAGGACTTGGGGATTCATATCTGCCTACAGAGCCTCCTCTTCTAGAGCCTGAGGGTATTTCCTGTGACACTCTCCCTCCCACGGCCTCCGGCAAGAGAACGGGCTTGGCAACAACTGACTAACCCCAAACCCTAAGAAAAACATGACTCGGGCACCTCCCTGTCGAGGGTGTTTTCATATCGGCATCCCTCCAGGTCTGCCCGCTGTCAGTGCAGCTGCGCAGAAGGCCCTGCCGCGGCAGCGGGGCCGGGCCACCTCCGGCAGCTGCAGGCCACAGTAGGCCCTGACAGGTAGCTGGTGCGACTGCAGACCTGGTTTTATATAGTATTTTAATTAGTTTAGGTCTAAATAGGCACATGTGAATGGTGCAAAGTCCCACGTGTCTGGTTGAAGCGGTGGAGGAAGTCTCGGCTCTGTTACAGTCCTAACTTACTGAATAAAATGCATCCAAAGTCTTCCTTTTTTTAAAAAAAAAAATCAGAGTGGGAAGGAGAGAGGGAGGGAGAGAGAGAGAGAAACACTGATGTGAGAGAAACACATCGTGGGGCTGCCATCCACATGACCCCAACCGGGTCCGGGGACAAACTGCAACTGAGGTACATACCCTTAGTGGTAACCAAACCCAGGACTCTCCAGTCCGTGGGCCAACACTCTAATCGCTGAGCCAAACTGGCCAGAGCCAAAGTTCTTCTTAACAAAAGTCATTGTTCACTCAAAAAATATTTCTTAAGCACCTCCTGCAGACCAGGCGCTGCCAGCATTCCCAGGGGCCGTACCACAAACATGAAAGGCCCTGCGCCCGCCCAGCCCGCCCTGTGGAACTTACCCTGTGGTGCAAAGATCAGCAAACTACTGTCCCCGGGCAGATCCAGCCTTCCCACTGTGTTTGTGCAGGCTGGGACCCAAGAATGATTTTTGCATTGTAAAATATTTGAAAAAAAATCAAAAGAGGACTAATTCATGACACAGGAAATTCAAGCTAAGTATCCATAAATCAGTGGGGGCAGAGCTGTGCCCATTTCCTGTGGTATCAGTGCCATGCCAGCCAGAGCTGAGCAGCGGCTGCCCAGACCACGTGGCCCTTGAGTCTGAGGCGCTGGCTCTGCCTTCAGAGGAAGTGCGCCCGCCTTCCAGGCGACAGTGACCGGCCAGCACTGCCCCCCTCGGCCAGCTCTGACAGCTGTCATCGCTCGGCCGGCGTGAGCCAGGCCTGAGGATGCGCCTTTCCAGCTGGCTTCAGGGTGAGGTGGACGCTGCTGGTTCGGAGAGGACGGCCTCCGGATGGGTGATTCTCACCCGTGGTTGCTCTAGAATCCTCTGAGAAAACTAGAAAATGATGCCCAGCTCCCCTCCCCCAGAAACTCAGATTTCACTGGTCTAAGACCTAGGCATCAGTACTTAAAAAAGCTTTCCTGGTGCTTCAAATATGTGAGCAGGGTTGAAAATCCCTGCTTGGTAAAATCTTTCTGAATATAATGAAGAGGCCATTCCATTGCAACACGGTGACGAAGTTCTAGTTCTCACTCGGACAGGACACAGGGAAGCTAGTTGCTTCGGCTCCTGGGGCCCGTGTTCTTTGCAGGTGGACAGTGAGGGGACACACCAGACGATCTCCGTGGGTTGAAGCTCACGGGTCGTGGCGGTCTCAGGCATGGGCGAAAGGTCCGGAGAAGCGCCAGGTCTCCTGGGCCCTGAGTGAGGGCGGCAGCCTCATGCCCAAACTCCAGGTCTCTTCACAGGAAACTGAGGGCCGACATCCGCTACCAACCATTGCTTGGCAGCTTGCCCTTACAGAAAGGCTTCCATGTCAGCCACACCGCCTCGCACACCGCAGCTAGAACTGCAGTTGCAGACCACGACTGAATGAGTTCAGAGCAGTGTTCCATTGTAGGACATTGGGAGATGACACAAAGAATAAAGAGTGAACCTGAACGTCTCTAGGGCTGTGCTTTCAACAGCCTCGCTTACGAGATCTCAGCCAAGTAAGGGCTACTGTGACACAACGAGTTCCCAGGAAAGCAAGGAGGGCCGGGTGTCCTGGAGCGCCCTCCCCCACAAAGCCCTGCAGGTGGAAGCCCTGTGATGACATCTCTGGTCTGCGCAGCTCCAAGCCTGCGCTTGCAGACAGGGTGGGCATCTGCGGGAGCGTGGGAGCCAGCTCGTCAACCAGAGGCTCTTTGCTGGGGCTGCGGTGCCGAGTAGGTATGGCCCACGCTCAGTTTCTTCACCTGCGAGCTCTCGCTGTGAAGACTGTTGCCGTGTCTGCCAACTTGGAGGTCTGCAGGTGAGGGAGGTCAGGTGTGAAGGCTTGGCCCTCTGCTTTCTCTGAGAGTGACTGGTGACCAGGTCTTCCCTGCTTTACAAGTCACGAAGGGGTCTGGAGAATGGGCTGGAACCAGGCGGCCTGGTTCACGTCCAACCAGTGCCTCTGTCACACACTGACAGGGTGCCCCTCGTGATGGTATTTGGAGGTGGGATCTCTGGGCAGTGCAGTGAGTAGGGTCAGATGAGGTCATGAGGGTGAGACCCCATGATGGGTTAGTGTCCTTATAAGAGGAAGAGACCAGAGCTCTCTCTACCATGTGACGACACAGAGAAGGCAGCCATAGCAAGCCAGAAACAGAACCAAATGGGTCAGCACCTGACCTTGGACTTTCCAGCCTCCAGAACTGTGAGAAATAGATGTCGGTTGTTTAAGCCTCATCTATGATGTTTCACTATAGCCTCCAGACTAAACAGTCTCACTAGTGAGATGATCACAGCACCTAGCTCACAGGCTTACTTTGATGACGTAATGAGACTGTGTGTAAGTAAGACTGAGCAGTGTTTGGGGCTCAGTGATGCTTAGAAACTGGTGCAACAATGATGAAGAAGATGAATAATGCAAGTTTGCTACTTTGGGGTGTGGCTGCCTTCAGGAAAGAAACAGACATGTCCCTTTGCTTGTCTTGTGTGTGGATTGGTGTCCATAGGAAAAACCATCCAACAAAACTGACGCTGTCTCTTGTCACCATGGAGATATTACTCCGTTCCCAGCGTTTTCAGCGCCTAGCAATTCCTGGCCTCATGAGAGTGTTGCAGAAAGATTACAGAACAGCGACCCCTCAGAATTTTTCCGACTATGAGTCCATGAAGAAGGGTTTCAAACTGGAGACTCCAGAATATTTCAACTTTGCTAAAGACGTCCTGGACCAATGGACCGACGTGGAAAGGGTATGGCATGTCTTGTGCCCCCAGGGCACGTGTGGCACTGTCTGGGGACCCTTCTGTTGCCATGACTTGGGGGAGGATGTGTGCTAATGGGTAGAGGCCAGGGATGTTGCTAAGTATCCAGAATACACAGGACAGTCTCGTACAGCAAGGCTATCAGCTCAACATGTTAGTGGTTCAAGGTTGAGAAAGCTTAACTACAAAAATATGTGATTATAGGTTAGTTTTATTATTATTTTTTCTTTATTGATTTTTTTTTTTTTTTTTAGAGAGGAAGGAAGAGGGAGAGAAAGATAGAAACATCGATGAGGGAGAACATCGATTGGCCGCCTCCTGCATGCCCCCCACTGGGGATCAGGCCCACAACCTGGGCAGCGAACCAGTGACCTCCTGGTGCCTGGGTTGTTGCTCAACCACTGAGCCACACCAGTTGGTTATAGGTTAGTTTTAAAAAAAGGAGTGGAGTGAAAAGTGAGTCCAAGGACATGAAGCGCAGATACAGCACTGAGAGAGAAAGCTCAGAGGGTCCTAACCATCGGGCCGAATGAGATAGGACACGTGCTCGAAGAGTCCACACGGCCCCACATCCAGAAACAAGAACTCCAGTTAGTTCAGGTAGTCCATGCATGTCCTGCTGAATGACCAGTGGGTTTTCTCCAGAGGAGATGTTCCACCAGTCTGTTAAACAGAATGTAGCTGGATAACCAGCCTTAAACCCACGACTGGGTTGTGTTTCCTCAGGCTGGGAAGAGACCCCCCAATCCAGCCCTGTGGTGGACGAGTGGAAGTGGAGAAGAAGTGAGGTGGAGTTTTGAGGAACTGGGATCTTTGTCCAGGAAATTTGCCAATATACTTACAGAAGCCTGTGCCCTGCAAAGGGGAGAGCGAGTCCTTGCCATCCTGCCCCGGGTCCCAGAGTGGTGGCTTGCAAACGTGGCCTGTCTGCGAACCGCTTAGTCGTTGAGAACTGATCGCGTTGAAAGTAGGCTGGATGGGGGATTTGCAAAACATCTGAGTAATTATGAGACATTTATTTGGGTAAATGACTTGAGGAACCACACAATAGAGTACTATTCTCAGGAACCTTAGACATGTGTTGGAAATACCTCATGTCTTTTGACCTAAACTAGCAGCTGGGTTTTTCAAAATGCAACCGCTTTATTAAGTGACTGCCAATCAGCAAATACCCTCATGCCTACTGCTTTTCTCCTGCTATAGGACCAGCATGGTCCTCTGAACTCAGGGCGACCACAAACTCTCATGGCCACTGCCACCACCTGGCCAGCCCCACCTCCACGACCCCCTCCCCAGCCAGCTCCTGCACCCCGTGAATCTGACCTCCTCCGGGCCCTCCAGCACCCTGCTCTTCCAATTCCATCGCCTTACTTCACCTTTTCCCAAAAGTCTCCCTAATTCTGTCTTATAGGTTCCCACATCCTCCCCCAATCCAGTGCTTCTCCATAGTCAGTGTTCCCTGTAGAACACACATTTTTATCCGACCATTGGCTGCTTGCCATCACTTACTGACCCTGTCGCCTCCAGGTAACATCTGGATGTCAGGTGGGCATGGGAGGCTCTAGCTGCCTTCCCGGGCTGTTCTCACGCGCCCTCAGCTCCGCGCCCCGTCTTTCCTGCCAGGCTGGGACCTGTCCCGTCTCCGGCTCTTCCAGTTTCCTTTGCTTGGAAAACCTTCCCTCACATCTCACCACCTGGGCAACTCTTCTTAGACTTTCACGTCTTGGCTCTGATGTCACCTCCTCAGGCAACCCCACCCCAGCTGCTTTCTGGTTTAAGCTGACCTCAGAAGTATGTATTTCTGTTTAACCGGTACTATATTGTCTGGGTAACTATTGACTAGTAAACCTGTCATTCTCAGGACCTTGTGAGCTCCCAAAAGGCAATGGCTATGATATATTCATCTCTGACCTCCAATGACTGGCACATAGTAAATGCTCAGTGAAATATTTGTTGACTATCTCTATGGTCATAATGAGTCATTATATTGAATAGCCTTATTAGCCATTATTATAATCATGACTTGCACTTGCGGAGAGTTATCTCTCTCATCTCACGTACATTTAAATTATGTCAGAATTGCTTAGTCCACTTTTATTTTTATTTAGTTAACTTTCCTTACTTTATTTTTGTTGTTGGCACTAGTTTGGGTGTCCCATTCCTCCTTGGCCCCCTGACCTGGCCCTGCCCCTCCCTCTGGCCATCCCTCACTGTTGTCTGTGTCTGCATCTACCTCCACACAGTCTTTTTAAACAAAATGATTGCTTTCATGAATGCTGCTTCAGCACGCTGTCTTATTAAGAGACTGATTGCCAGGACCACGAAATCCACTTATTTATTTATTTTTTTAAATATGTTTTTACTGAATTTTTAGAGAGAGAAGAAGGGAGAGTGAGAGAGAAACATGGATCGGCTGCCTCCTGTCCCCCCACCCCCCAGGGATTGAGCCCACAACCCAGGCATGTGCCCTGACTGGGAATCGATCTGGGACCTCTCAGTCCATGGGATGATGCTCAATACACTGAGCCACATCGGCCCGGCCACAAAATCCACTTATATCAGCTCAATAAGGAGGAGAACTGTTGAACGTCTGTGGGAGAATCTTACAGAAGAAGAGTATAGAAAGAACCATGGTCTCTGCAATGAAACAGGCTCTTCCGCAGGCAGCTCCTTTCTCTCTCGTTTGCTCTGAAGCCACAGGCCTCTCGTCTCCGCCTCCTTCGGGCGTCTGCCCTTGGACTCCCTCCTGCTAGCAAACGGCCTCTCCGTTCCCTTTCGTTGTGGCTGGCACATGACTGTGGTTTGCCACACAGGTGCCTCGGGCTCTAACCCTGTATGTCCACCCAATAATCCACTCAGTCTTTTCGAGTCTCATTGGCAGCGCTTGGGTTAGGCAACTCAGATGTGGTCCGAGACCGCTTCGTCTGATATGAACATGGTTACTGAGGCGTTACTGAGGCTATGGGTAGGAGAGAAGGCAGATTCTCTTAGTCTTTTTGTTGTTAATCCTCACCTGAGGATGTTTTTCCATTTATCTCAGAAGAATGGAAGAGAGAGAGAGAAACATCTGCGTGGAGGGACACATCGACTGGTTACCTCCTGCACGACCTCGACCAGGGCTGGGGATGAAATGCAGCCGAGGTGCGTGCTCTTGACCAGAATCGAACCTGCGACTCATTGGTCCCCGGGCCAACACTCTAACTGCTGAGCCAAACCGGCCAGGGCCAGATTCTCTTAGTCTTCATTGGCAGAATTGGAAATGAGCTCCCAGCTATTTAATTTCATAATAATTTTTCCCTCTTAATAAACCTAAGGTAATTGAAATATGTCCAAGGACTTCAGTTGTTCATATATTTCTCAGGGTTATACACACATGTGATACGATGATAAACAGAGGCAAAGGAATGGTTAACACATTTGCTTAACAGCTTCCTGGGAGTCAGGCACATAGAGCCTCTCACATACTGTTAAATTTCTTTCCATAAGCTGGGTGGTAAATAATGCTTATTTTCATTAATTTTTTATTTTCTTTATTGATTTTAGAGAGAGAGGAAGGGAGAAGAAGGGCTACTAAGAGGTCGCCAGTCCGATTCCTGGTCAGGGCATATGCCCCAGTTAAGGGCCTGACCCCCAGTACGGAGTGTGCGGGAGGCGGCCAGTCGATGTTCTCTCTCATCGATGTTTCTGTCTGTCTCTCCCTCTCCTTTCCTCTCTGAAATCAATAAAAATATGTTTTAAAGAGAGAGAGCCCTACACAAGAAGACAAAGTTACTTTCAAGTGTGGACAGAACGGTAACTTTCGCAATTCCATTTCCTGGCACCAGGATCTGAAAGCCCATCTCTCCACCAACCCCCCTGTACCCACGCGTCTCTGTGCCACAGGTGGTCCCCGGGCACTCGCCACGTTTCAGGAGCTATAGGGTTAGAGTCCGGTGGGAGTCATAGTTAAACAAACAGTGTCACCTGTGGCAAGTCCCAGGAGAAACCGCACAGGAGCCATCGGTGTGTGTGAGGGGCCACTGCAGGCCAAGAGGTAGTCGGGAGTATTTTGGCTGGGACCTGAGGGCTGAGTCAGCCAGTGGGAGGAGGTGTGGGTGACAGCGGCATTCTAGACGAGTGGGAAGGCATGTGCAGAGGTGCGGAGGCAGGAGGTCACCTGGAGGTTTGGAACATAGAAAGAGTCTAGTGTGAATGTAGGTGTTGGCTAGGGATCCTCTCATCCCAGGGACCATACGTGTGAAAACCCAACCAGAGACTTCTCCTCTGGACAGGCTGGGAAGGTCGCTGTCAGGGTCTGCCCAGCAGTACCCTTTCTCTGTTCTGGGCTGCGTGGCCTGCCTGAGACCCAACTCTGTAATATATCATACAAGATAAAGTGTAACCTTGTTCCTCTGTGGGTCCTCATGTCTGCTCACACCAACACTGCATCTCTCTTCTGATCTGGTTTATGTTGAGCTTATAGCTTAGTTCTTTGAAGGTGATCTATTTCCCTTATTTCTAGTTCTCAGAGCGCTCTGTCCAACAGCCTCAAAAACAAACTCTTATATCATACTTTAATTTTCAGACTCTTTTGTATGCATTATAAGCCAAATCCCATTACAAAGAAATCTCAGTATATAGTTATTTAATTTTTTTTCCTTATTGCTTTTAGAGAGAGAGGAAGGGAGAGGGAGAGATAGAAACATCGATGAGAGAGAACTTCGATTGGCCACTTCCTGCATGCCCCCACGTTGGGCCCTCAACCTGGGCATGTGCCCTGACCAACCGGGAATTGAACCGGTGACCTCTTGGTGCATGGGTCAATGCTCAACCACTGAGCCACACCAGCCAGGCTCAGTATATAGTTGTTTTAAAACATTAATTGCGGATGAGCTGGTCCCTTACTTTAAGTACTTTTACCACAGAAATCTAGTGAAATGCTCAGTACCAGTCCACAGAGCTTTATGAGGTTTCTGTGGTGTGTGTGGCCCCTCTGGCTTTAAAATAAACATTTGCTCACTTGCTCATTCAGTCTTCATGAGAGCCTGTGACTGGGGAGAGGACCCACACTTTATAAATAGGCAGGCCAAAGATTTCATAGATGGGCGGGGGGGAGGGACATTAAGTCATTTGCCCAAAGCCACTCAACAAGTCAGAACTAGAGCCCAGCGCAGCTGACATGTCCTACATGTTTCATAACATTTCAAAGTAAGAATAGTTCTTAAATACACCCAGTTCAGACGTTGACGTACACGAGCACCTGGGAACCCTGGTGCGCAGACAGCAGCATGGTGGTGGCAGAGGGAGGAGGGGTGGTTCAGGGAAAGGGGGCCAAAGGTACGGTCTGGAAGGAGACTTGACTCGGTGGTGGGCAGGCCATGCAGTGTACAGACGATGTGTCATAGAATCGTACACTTGAAACCTACATGCTGTTATTAGCCAAGGTCACACCAGTAAATTTATTAAAAATGTTAATGGTTATTCTGACCCAGTAAGCCTGGGTTGGACCTGAGATGTCATCATTTGAACAAACTCCCTGATGCGGCCGATGATCTGGCCCTGGAGCCGCCCTCTGAGAGACAGGAATGAGTTCCCCCCTTTAGGTTGCAGACGAGGGGAGGAAGGCCCAGGCGCAGTAACTCGGCTAAGGCACCTTGGCCAGAGAAACAGGCAAAACGAGAACCTCGGTGGGCGCCAGCCCGAGCCCTCCCGGCCACGGCTTTCTCCCGGCCTCGCCCGGCGTCAGCCCGGCATCAGCCCTGCTCCTCTGTGCAACATGGCAACCGTGAAGTACAGTGGACATTTTATTTCTGAAGTTTCTAACTTTTTTTTTACAGGAAACGTAAATATCAAGGGGAATCGTCCTCAGTGAGGTCCGCCCTGGGCAGCCTATGTAACAGCTCCCTCACCACCCACCCAGCGTGGTCACTGTCCTTGTAAACAGCACACGTCGCCTGATACTTCACATGCGCTGAAGTCTAGAGTGAGGGTCCCCGAGGGCAAGCACTCTGTCTGCCTGCTCTCCACGGCGTAGCTCTCAACGTGTACTCTTAAACGAATGAGTGAATAAACGGATTCACTGTACTTGCAGTCAGCTAGGACACTACTCCAGAGCAATGCTGGCTTGCTTTCTTTTTTTTTTTTTTTTATCCTCACCCAAGGACATTTTTCCATTTTTTGTTCAGGTAGAGTGGGAGGGAGAGAGAGGAACAGAGAGAGAGAGAGAAACATCGACGTGAAAGGAACACATCGAGTGGCTGCCACCCGCACAACCGACCAGGGCCGGGGACAAACTGCAACCGAGGTACGCGCCCTTAGTGGGAACCGAACCCGGGTCTCTCAGGACTGCAGGCCGACGCTCTAACCGCTGAGCCAAACCAGCCAGGGCTCTTTTTTTTTTTAAATTTAAAGTAACAGTTTGTTCCCTGGCAAGAAATTATGTAATGTTCCCCAGAATGATTAATTGAGACAGGAAGTAGTTTTAATAGGTAAGAGTGATCACTGTTACTGGGTTTTTAAAGATGTGGTAAGAACTGTGCATTGGTTGCATTAACTCTCTGAGGGTGATGTGTTTAAATAATGTGCTTCTTCAGAACATGAAGTGCCTGTAAATCATGGGAAGTGCCAGGTAAGACATCGCAAAGAAAGACCCTGGAGTTAAACCTCAAAAACATTGCTATCTTGTCTTGTTTAAATAGAGAAGATGTGTCACAGAAAACCAGGACCGAAGCACAAGGTTCTCTGGTCCTAGTTTTATGTCCCTTTCAGAAGCCCACTGGAGGGTTGTCCTTTATGAAATGGACAGACAAGCCAGTGTCAGGGGTCTGTGAATGACCAGGCACATGTGAGTCCTTGTCCCCCTTGCCCGCCGAGTCACCGGGAGGAGGAAAGGATGGTGGAGTGCACGCCTTCCACCCTCTCCCGAAGGGCTGGGACTTAGGGTGGCGGAGCCAGGGATACAGATATAGGTAGATGTACGTATGTATGATTGGAAGTCTGTTAATCCTTTGAGAAAATAGCTAGTTTGTTCAGCATGGTTTTAAACTTTTTACACATTTTAGTTCATTTAATCCCCATTCATCCCACCACGAAGGTGCTGCCTATTATAATCCCCACCTCACAGATGCAGAACCCAGGCCTCATGGACATGAAGTGCCTGTCTCCGGCCACCCTCCGAGAGTACCAGCTCCAGGACACTTCGCCACTGCACCCGACAGGAACTGACAGCAGATGCCAGTAGCACAGAAAAGGGTGGATGGCTCAGTCCTCCCTTTGGAAAGAAAGCATGAAACAGGCCCGTACATTTAAGACATGCTGGTGAAGGGGTCAGGTGCACAGCTCTGGGGACAGGTGACAGGTTCAGTCCCCGCACGGCTGCCTTCTGCTTTGGTGATGTTGGGCAAGTTATTCATAGTGTTTGTGGTTGGGGCTGTTTGGTGAGGATTAATGAGTTACAACATGCAAACACTTAGAACAGCACCTGGCACTCAAGTTCTCAGTAAATGCTGGGTAGTAATGTACTTTTCAATCCAAACCCTCTTCAAGCTGAATGTTATGAATGGTCTTCAGAGAGAAGATAATTACCCAGCATTTAACATCCTTTTATTTTAGGTCAAAAGGGTTACAGCTTTGAGATCCCATGAAAGGCAAAAGCAGAGTAATGAAAGGAAGACATACAGATACCTTGCCTGGGAAATCGATGAGGCCATTCTGAGAAATACAGAACGTACAGGAGCAATTACACGCCCTGGCTGACAAGATGAAGGAGACCCTTCCTTCTACAAATTTTGTTTCTTTTCTGCTCCTTCAGGTACAGTTTTAATTCCGGGGACCACTCAGCTGACCCAGAAAGACATCCTCTACAGACTGCAGGCTTCCCAAGCGAAGTGCATCATTGCCAGCGAAGCTGTCGCCCTGGCAGCGGATGCTGTGGTGGCCAAGTGTGAAAACCTGCGCTCCAAGCTGATTGTGTCTGAGAACCCCAGAGACGGGTGGGGGCATCTCAAGGAGATGATGAAGTGAGTAACCACAGTTGTGTAGAACAGCTTCCCCCAAAGAAAGGCAACACTGAAAAGATACTCAACCCACAAGTGGTGTGATCAGAAAAATGACAATGAAAATGACAGGCAAAGGGAACCGTTGGTGATTATCATGGTGCTAACAGTGCAACACTCTGAGGCAGGAAGGAGCCTGGCATGTTCTTCGTAGGCTGGGATTTCCAGGAAGCAGACCCTGAACCAGAGATTAGTTGTATTAAGAAGCTTATTAAGTGTCCAGGCTGGTTTGGCTCAGCAGTTAGAGCATCACCCACAGATCAAAGAATCTCGGGTTTGATTCTGGTCAAGGGCACTCAGTTGAGGTTCGGTCCCCGGGCCTGGCAACCAATTGATGTGTCTCTCTCACATCAGTGTTTCTCTCCCCCCCGCCCCCCTTCCCACACACACTCTATCTGAAGATAAATGGGAAAATATCCTCGGGTGAGGATTTTAAAAATTTAATTAAAAAAAATAGAAAGAAGAAGCTTATTAAGTTCTTTTGGGATCAACACCTATGAAGGAAGGCAAAAGATGTGGGATTGGGCAGAGGAAGAAATGTGTCTGCCGTGTCCTCCCAGAAAGGCCCTCAGCCCGTCCGCGGAGACTCTGGCATTCAGATGGCCCCTCAGCTGCCCCAGCTTCTCTGTCACAGTCAGAGCAAGAGGTCCTGGCCTTGCTGTGCCCGTACCGATCAGGAGGAGGCCTGGCCTTGGGTAAGACAACTTTTTCAGCCAAGGCCATCTATAAAGTGGGCTCCAAGCGTTGGCCCACGGTCCAGAGAAACCCAGGTTTGGTTCCCGCTAAGGGCACGTACCTCAGTTGCAGTTTGTCCCCGGCCCTGATTGGGGTTGTGTGGGTGGCAGTCACTCGATGTGTCCCTTTCACGTTGATGTTTCTCTCTCTCTCTCCCAACCACTCTATCTGAACAAAAACGGACAAATGTCCTCAGGTGAGGATAAAGAAATTAAAGTGGGCTCCGAGCACCTGGGGGTGTAAGTCCTTCCCCCCTACACCAGGATTTAGGAGGTGGGTCACAGCATCAGACAGAGCTGGGGGCGTCTCCCAAGAACACGGATACAGCATATAACTCCCGTGCTGACAGCAACTCTTCTGTCAGGTTATAAGAACATTTAATGTTAATGAATGCAGTTATGAAACTAATGACTCTGAGGTTCACCCCCTACTGTGGGTGCTTCCAGGACCACGGAGAGCTCTTGTCAGGCGTTATTATCTCTCACTGTAGGCTGACAGCAAACTCCCCCTCAGAAGGAGCATGCTTGAAACCATGGATTTCCTCCTACCCTCTCTGAAATAGCTAACAGGTCCTGAGTTCTTACCAAAAGCCAAGTCCTGTTCTAATAAAAATAATATTATGAGACTTCGGTCAAGGTGCCACGTAGGTAAACATGGTCTTGCCTCCTCCCACAACCACATCAAAATGACAAACTACAGAACAACCATCCTTCAGAACCACCTGACATTGAGCTGAATGGAAGTCCTACAACTATGAGATTAAAGAAGCAGCCACATGAAGACTGGTTGGAGGGGCGGAGGTGGACGAGCTGGTCCCACACCCACACGTGGTGGATAAAAATCAGGAGGACACCTTGGCTGGGAAGGCCCTCCCTGAGGACTGAGGGGTCCGCATTCCACACCAGGCACCCCGCTCAGGGTTCCAGTGCCAGGAAGAGAATCCCCATCACTTCTGGCTGTAAAACCAACAGGAACTGAGGCTGAGGCTGCTGGAGCCCCAGGCAACTCCTCTTAAAGGGCCCATGCACGGACTTATTCGGACTTGTTCCCTCTGAGCATGGGGGAGGCAGCTTGAAAGGCACCAGAAACATATGGGGAAGAACTGAGCTATTTGGCCTATGGACGAGGGCTGGAGGGGCGGCTTTCTCCTGGACAGACGTGCTGTTAGAGACCATTGCTCCTTTGGTGAGCCCTTTCCCTGGGTGGCAGATGGGCACCATATCTGTGAGCAACCTGGCTCACACTGTTTGCCCCGCCCTGGTGATTCCCTGAGGCCCCGCCTCACCCAGCCTTCAGGCCCACCCACGCTGTTTCCAGGGGCTTTACCATAGAATTGGCCTGTCTTGGATCCTGTTTCAGAGTTTCCTAAATTCTCTCAAACAAGCAGCATCTTGTCTCAGCAAGCTCCATACCTCTCATTAAGTGGCCCCAGGCCTGGCACTAGAAGCAACCAGCCTTGGTTCACAGCTTGGCTTTTCCTGGGCACCTCCAAGCCCAGCACAAGAAGCAGCCATTGGCAGATTGCTCTAGTTTATACATGGTGGCCCTGGATAGAACACAGGCAGTGGCTGACCTTGCCCCAGAGCCAGCACATGCAGTGGACAGCTTCAGACCACACTGAAACACCATCACCCAACCACCCCCATAAGTGACACACTGAAGGAGTGGTCTCAGTGGATACCAGAGCCCTGATGAAGTAAGTCTTGCTCTGTGTGGTGGGCCCTGCACAGCTGATCCTCCGAGGTAGTCAGAGGTCAGTGGTCAGTGGAACAGTCCTTGCAGCTGATCAGCCTGAGTAAATCCCTCCCATTGATGTGCCAACAGTAATCAAGACTCAATTACAACAGAAGGGTGTACAATCCACATGAGGAGTGCACCTCGAGGGCCCAGCCGGGGTGATCAGGGAGGCTCTGCCACTAGACCCAACAGGATACCTACAACAATAGGCCACCCTAGGAAGCCTAGGAGATATAGCAACTTTACTTAATGTATAGAAACAAACACAAGGAAGCAGCCAAAATGAGGAGACAAAGAAACATTTCCCAAATGAAAAAAAAGAACAAAACTCCAGAAGAACTAAACAAAATGGAGATAAGTAATCTAACAGATGCAGAGTTCAAAACACTGGTTATAAGGATGCTCAAGGAACTTAGTGAGAACTTCAAGGAACTTAAGGAAAACTCCAAGGAACTTGGTGAGAACATCAACAGCATAAAAGAGGACCAGTCAGAAACGAAGGATGCACTAACTGAAATAAAGAATTATCTACAGGGAATCAATAGTAGAGTAGGTAAAGCCAAGAAGAAACCATAGATTTGGAATATAAAGAACTGCAATCAGAACTGCAAAAAGAAAAAAGAATCTGAAAAAATGAGGACAGTGTAAGGAGCCTCTGGGACAACTTCAGCATGCCAACATTCATATCATAGGGGTGCCAGAAGGAGAAGAGAGAGAGAGCAAGAAATTGAAAACCTATTAGAAAAAAATAACGACAGAAAACTTCCCTAACTTGGTGAAGGAAACAGACATACAAGTTCAGGAAGCACAGAGAGCCCCAAACCAGATGAACCCAAAGAGGCCCACACCAAGACACATCATCATCAAAATACAAAAGGTTCAAGACAAAGAGAGAATCTTAAAAGAGCAAGAGAAAAGCAGTTAGTTACCTACAAGGGAGTTCCCATAAGGGTGTCAGCTGATTTCTCAAAAGAACCTTTGCAGGCCAGAAGGGAGTGGCAAGAGATATTCAAAGGGATGAAAAGCAAGAACCTACAACCAAGATTACTCTATCTGCAAAGCTGTCATTTAGAATCGATGGCCATATAAAAAGTTTCCCAGACAAGACAAAGCTAAAGGAGTTCATCACCACCAAACCAGTATTATATGAAATGTTGAAGGGTCTTCTTTAAGGAGAAGAACAAAAATCTGAACAATAAAATGGCAATTAATACATATCTATCAACAATTGAATCTACAAACAAACGAGCAAACAGAACAGAAACAGACTCACAGATACAGAGAATTTTTGTTGTTTGCCAGATGGGAGGGGGCTGGGGGAAAAGGTGAAGGAATTAAGAAGTACAAATTGGTGGTTAGATTGATGAAGGGGAGGGGGAAGGGAGAGAGGGAAGAGATAAACCAAAGGACTTCTGTGCATATATATGTATAACCAATGGACACAGACAATAGTGTGGGAAAGGCAGGAGGGGGCAGGATTGGAGAGGAGCGGGTCAATGAGAGAAAAAGGGGAGACATCTGTAATGCATTCAACAATACAGATAAGTTTAAAAAATGTTATAATTGCAACAGTAGCTGCCATTTCTGTTGGTCTGGTTGTGCACCAAAAACTGTTCCAAGCACTTGAGATACATTAACTCATTTAATCCCACAACAACCTAGAGGGTAGACACTGTGATTATACAAATGAATAGGTCAAATGCTAGCATCTGGCAGAGCTGGTTCAAACACAGGCAGTCTGGCTTCTGAGCCCACACTCCTGTCTGTGATGTTTACTGCCTCCAGTAGTGAGAAACTAGCATGACAGCTCTGTCTTAGGTTTCAAAAGAAGCCATACATGTGATAGAAGCGACAGGTACATAGCTATAGGTACTACCTATTGTTTGTTTTTAGTTGTTAATCCTCACCTGGGGATATTTTCCATCGATTTTTAGACAGTGGAATGGAGAGACAGAGAAACATTGATGTGAGAGAGACACATTGATTGGCTGCCTCCTCATGACCCCCACCAGGGCCAGGGATCAAACTGGCAACCCAGATACATATCCATGACCCCTGCGACCCCTCGGTGTTTGGGCCAATGCTCCATCCACTGCACCAAACTGGCCAGGGCTGTACTACCTATTTTAAGGAAGAAACTTATGGAATCATAGAGAAAATACGTGGTCTAGCTCTGCTAGGCTTTGAAGACAGCTTTTCTATATCTCTCATGGCCTGGATGTTTCTGGTTTATTCATTCTTGGCTTAATACTCCCAGATGAAATCTGGGTGCTTCTTAGACACTGGCTGTGCAGAGCTCACCTACTCGCGGCTGCCCTAGCGTGTGACTTACATAGCAGCCCACTTGTCCTCCAAAACAAAATGTTTTCTTTCTCTTTAACTGGGGTCCTTCCTTCCCTGGATGGATGCTTAGATCCACTTACGTGTTACTGTTTACTGTATTCAGAACGGTGTAGACCCTCTTGTAGGGAATAGGAAAACAATCCTTTCTTGTAGGGAATCGGAAAACAATCTTCTTGGGTCAGCAAACGTTCCCTGGAAAAGGGGTGGACGATAAATATTTTAGGCTTTGCAGGCCACGCAGTGTCCATCACAGTAGCTCACCTCACTGCTGCAGAATGGAAGTGGCCATAGGTGATCATAAACAAATGGACGTGGCTGTGTTCCAATGAAACTTTATGTACAAAAACAGGAGGTGGGCCAAATCTGGCCTGTGGGCTGCAGTTTGCCGACCCCAGCTTTATACCATTACCCATGACTTCTGTCAACACGCTCATTTTTTTTTTTTTTTTATCCTCACCCGAGGACATTTTTCATTCAGATAGAGTGGGGAGGGAGAGAGAGAGAAAGAAACATTGACGTGAAAGGGACACATCGAGTGGCTGCCACCCGCACGACCCAACCAGGGCCGGGGACAAACTGCAACCAAGGTACATGCCCTTAGCGGGAACTGAACTCGGGTCTCTCTGGACCGCAGGCCAACACTCTAACTGCTGAGCCAAACCGGTGAGGGCAACACGCTCATTTTTTTAAAATCACATTTCAAAGCATCCATGGTGAAGAGGCAGTTATTCACAAATCCATCGCTCACCACCACAGAATCCTCATTCTGCTACTGGTAGGGTAAAACTCTCGAGTTTTTAAAATGCTGTGTTTTATCACACAATAAAAAGGCTATGACATCGGCTGTTATAAATGGGCTCCCAGTGGCAGTTAATTTGATTCTAGAAAGCACCTAAAAGGATGGAGAGGAAGATGGTATTTACCTTTCAATTCAACCTGAATCACCAGGGCTGGATCAATGCGAGAACAAGGTCTGAGTGGATGGTTGCTTGAATCCCTTTCTGTGCTGACCATCTGTGCTGCTGTTTACTGTGCAGAATCACTGGTTCTTCCTTCCTAGACATGCCAGCGACAGCCACACCTGTGTGGAGACAAAACACGATGAGACGATGACCATTTACTTCACCAGCGGGACGACCGGAGCCCCTAAAATGACGGCACACACCCACAGCTCTTTCGGTTTAGGATTGTCTGTAAACGGAAGGTACCTTCATCCAGCAGCAGCTGGAGGGCCAATACCTGCAGGGGTGGTGATTCATTTATTGCTCTTTCGGATTTTCTCCGATGGACCAGGGCTGTTCTTTGTTCTCCCAGGTTCTGGCTGGATTTGCAGCCTTCGGATGTGATGTGGAATACCTCTGACACGGGCTGGGCCAAGTCTGCATGGAGCAGCGTGTTTTCGCCTTGGATCCAGGGTGCATGCGTCTTTGCACATTGTTTGCCGGAGTTTGAGCCGACTTCCATCTTGCAAGTAAGGCAGACCCCAAGAGGTCACCATTTAGAAACACTGAACTTTGCCACTGACAGGCCTGCCCAGAAACACCCTTAGAAGCAGAAAGCAGAATCCAGATGCTTTAGGACACTTCACATCTGGAGAATAAAAACCAGAAAAGGTGCACTAAGGAAAGGTTGGAGTAAACAAGGGTTACGCTGTGCTGTGCCTCCCACAGACGCTCATTTAAGTTGTAGGAAGACCAAGACTTTACTTCTTGTACATTGCAGATTCTCTCCACGTTTCCCATCACAGTCTTCTGCTCAGTGCCCACTGTGTACCGCATGCTCGTCAGGAGTGACATGACCAGGTAAGGCAGGCTGGTGAATAGGCTCGTATTGGGGGGAGGGGAGAGAAGAGGACAAGCTAAAATAAAAGGCCCTTCTGCCTAGACACAGAGTTCCAGACTCGTAGGTGTGGGATTCGGCAATCTCTTCTCCTCGTCTCCTCTTGCTTACGCTCTGTCGTGATCATTGCTGCATCTAGAGCAGGGCATCTGTGTGTGTGTCCCGAGAGCCCAGTGGATGATGACTGTTCCCCGACCTGAGAAAGTAAGGGAGTCGCCCCGATTTGGAACCCTATCCCAGAAAACAGGAAACACAAGGGTGTCTTTCACTGTTACTGATTCCATTTGAAAGGGTGAATTGGTAAATATTTGTAATTGATGTTATTTAAGTTTGACTAGGAAAAGTTCACATGACATAAAACTCAATAGGTATATAAGAATATACATTGACTATACATTAACTACGTAAGAATATGTATCGGAGGAAGGCTCCCCCAAACCCTGTCCTCAGTCCTGCCCTCCTCCTCCCTGAAACCTGTGTAGACAGCCAGTGGGCACATGTCCTCCTCGCTTTCATAAATATAAGTGGAAACGTAGTATGCACAGTCTTGCACCTTTTCCCCAACAATACATCCTGGAACTGTGCTGTCCAAGCGGCGACAACTAGCCACAGGTAAGTATTTAACATTTAATTTCAGTTAAATTAAAAATTCAGTTCCAGATTATAGTTAATTAAACCGTAGTGCATGTTTGAAGTTGCTAAGACAGTAAATCTTAAAAGTTCTCATCACAAGCAAAAATAATTTTGTAACTATGCAGGATGACAGATGTTAACTAGACTTATTGTGATCATTTCACAATATGTACAAATGTCAAATCATTATGTGGTACACCTGAAACTAACAATATATGTCAATTATACTTGAAAATAAAATTCAGCTCCTCGGTTGCACTAGTCACAGTTCCAGTGCTCAGCGGCCACCTCAGGGCCAGAGGATATTACAGAAAGTTCTGTTGGACAGCACTGTCCAGGAACTTCCTTGCTCTTTGTAACAGCTGTATACTAGTCCATGGTATAAATATTTCATAGTCAATGTAAACAGACAAGCAGTAAATTTCTAATCCTGATTTAACATATTAGTTAACTATGATGAACATATATGGTACCTTCTTTAAGGATTTTTTTTGCATTAAATCGTGCTCCCCCCACCACCACCAAATGAAAGGGAGAAAAGCAAAAGAAACCTGGTGTTTCGAGAGTCACTCTATGGTGTTAGAATGGTTTATTTTGTATTGGAGAGGGGAGGTAAGAACTAAGACACACAATGTTGTCATTTTGTTAGAAATAATCTTAATTTCTACTACTTTCCACTTTTCCTCCTAAATGTAATCTGTGATGTCTTCTGAGAAGCTGTAAGTTCAGAAGTTTAAAGCACTGTGTGACGGCCGGGGAACCCATCGGCCCTGAAGTGTCCAAGCAGTGGAGAGACAAGACAGGGCTGGATATCTATGAAGGGTACGGACAGACTGAAACGGTGCGTGGACCCCACTGAATAGACGGGGCTGGGTCCGATGTAGTATGATGACTAGAAACCAAGTGCTGTTATGTCCCTACGACTGTCTGAGGGCCAGGGAGTGAATGGAATGATCAGAACAGTGTTTTCAAAGCTTGAGGGAGGGTAGTTGGAAAATAGCTGTGACAGACACAGTTGTTGTTTAAATAGCCTGACATTACACCCTGGAGCTGTGGAATGGAAATCGCCACTCATTGAGAAAAACTGCTATATACTGGTCAAGGTAAAGGCATTAAAATATTTTTTCCCCATTTATCTTCAGATAGAGTGGAAAGGGGCGGGGGAGAGAGAAAGAGAAAAGCATCGACGTGAGAGAGACACATCAACTGGCTGCCTCCTACATGACCCCAGCCAGGGCTGGGGCCTGAATCGCAACCGAGGTACGTATACTTGACCAGAATCAAACCCAAGACTCTTTGGTCCGCGGGCTGATGCTCTAACCACTGAGTCAAACTGGCCAAGGCTAAAATATATTTAAATGAAAAAAAAAAAAAATACTAGAGCTACAGAAAGATTTCCCCTTATGTAGTCAGGGCTGCCTCAAAACTAGAAAATGCTGAATTTCTTATCACTTAAAATATTGGGTTTGCTGGAAAAGGCCTTGACAAGCATACTACCAAAAGGGTTATCTGAAGAGCTTCTAGAAATAAGGATAAGGAATTCTAGATAAAATGAAAAAGTAATAACAAAAGTGGTGATTATGTAGGAAAGAGAGAGTGGGTAAGGGGAAAGCTGAGAGAGCATTTTCAAAGTGTGTCTCTCTACAGTGCTTCAGTTTATAAACCCTAAGAATGTAGTACCTGGTCAACAGTGGAAACACCACAATTAAAACTGACAAATGTATTTAATAGGAACAGCGTTAAGTATCATGCTCGTATGAGTACAAATGTTTTTATAAATATGGATACTTTAGCAAGTATACATTTATTAAGTGTTATAACTTTATTATATAATTTGTTTAGTGTTTATCTCTACACTTCATGAGAGCAGAAAATTTGTTTTATTTGGAACCTGGTTCATATTAAGTTCTCAATAAATATGGTGGATGAATAAATAAGTTTTATGTTACTTGTAATGTTATTTTATTCTCTCCTCAACTAGGTGCTGATCTGTGGAAATTTTAAGGGCATGAAAATTAAGCCGGGCTCCATGGGAAAGCCTTCCCCTGCGTTTGAGGTCAAGGTGTGCACATTCACTTCCAGGACGACAGTCCACCTTCCCTGCACTCCTAATTTGGGTGGTAATTCATGTTACTTGTATGGTATCCTAACCTCCAGGGAAAGACAGAGATGGATTAGAAATGTTAGTTTATTGGTCTCAATTATTTTTTAAAGTTCTCACATTTATTACTGGACCAACCTACTATTACAGAAAAATAAATCAGTGGAGAAAAATCATGCTTCCAATAACTTGCCAATGAAAATGCCCACCTGTCCAGACAGTGGTGACCTTTTCAGTGATGTGGTAAGATGCAGGCCACCTGGATACAGAACACGTGTGAGCATCTCTCATATGCGATTCCTCAGACCCAGTTTGGTTCTTTTCCAGTGTCTCCTCTTGGAATTGTATCTGATTTATTACCAGTTTCCATCTGAATCCACTGGGGAATGGGCCGAGTCTACTTTTGTTTCTTGGCCAGGAACCTTTTGATTCTGAGTCTTGTGAGAAGACACAGCGAAGGAGAAGCACCGCACCCACCGCGATGGAGAGAGGAAGAGTGCTGTCTGTTTCTCTCGTTCCGATTTTAGTACATGAGCTGCCGAGGCGAGCGCTCCATTTTCTAAGGAGCAGTTACTTGTGCAGAGTGGTTCTAAGCATTTTATAAATATTAACCCATTTAATTTCTAGAAGGAGCCTATGAGAGGCAGAGTAATACTAGAACCGTTTTACAGATGAGGCCTAGAGATTAAGGAATGTATCCAAGGCCACACAGTTAGCAGCTGCTCGTGCTGAGGTTCAGTCCCAAGGGATCGAGTTCCAAAGTCTGTCCTTTTGGCCACAACACCACACTGCCCCCTCTGGTGAGGGAGGTCAGGACTCCCGGGAGGGTCAAGTGGGCCAACAGAGGCCCACGTGTACAGTGGCTGCGGCCTTCTTCTCCCCTCCCCGCCACAGGCCGGCCTGGCCACTTCCGGCTCGGTAACCACTGCCGTTTCCACCCTCATCCCTAAGTGGCACCCTGTTATTCCGTCAGCACTCTTGTACAGGGTCAGAACTGTTCTTAAATCAAGCCAGCCAAAGCTAGGGGTAGCCACACGAACTTACACTGACATATAAAACAAGAGCAACAAAAATGCAAAACAGATTCATTTGTAGAGAAGACAATTGTAGATTAGATCAATGCATCCCAAGCTTATTTGATCATAAGAATCACATGGGCACTTGTTAAAAACACTAATTTTCTGGCCCCTTCCCTAGACAGTCTGATTTAATGGACCAGGTCGTTCTTACGAGCAGGTAATTTTGATAAAGTTCAGATGATACTGATGGCTGATAACACTGTTCATGCAAACCCGACGCTGGGTCCTTTCCTTCACTTTTACTTCGCTGTGAGAACCTTGTCTAAAGATGGGATTGCCTAGAGGTTCAGGCCGGACTGCCGTTCGCTAGGGGAGCGCCCGTGGGTGGGCAGTGACACCCTGGCATCTGCGGATATGCTCCAACCAGCTGGATATCAAGTCCACGCCACTTCAAAGCCCAAAGCTCGTGATTTCCCTGCTTAACATTTTAGGGCCGCTTGAACAATGAGGAATGGGATTCCCTCCAACTGTCTTTTTCACAGCCATTACAGAGTAATCGGTGACAAGTTGTTGCAACTCGTAAATTGTCTTTCTATCAATAACTCCTTGATACCCAGATCCAAGTATTTCTTTAGATGACTGGGTGAGAATTCATTTTTGTTTTATTTCAAGAACTTAACAGTAAGGTTTTACATTTAGAATTCCTTTGCCTTTCACGATTCTCCTTGAGGACGAGCCGTCTTCTTTCTGGAAAGCGCCAGATAAGTGTAATGCCCTTATCTTTCCCACATCTCCGGCTCAAAGGTTCCTGGTGGACGAACACAACAACAGAGTCAGGTTCTCATACTGAGGAATAGTTAAGAGTTATTTAGAGTGAAATCTGGTACATAAGAAAAGCAATCAACCTAGCAAATGCTAATCTGGATTTTTAAAATCTGGACTGGCCCTGGTCAGGCGGCTCAGTTGGTTTATCCTGTGCACCAAACAACTGCAGGTCCAATTCCCAGCCAGGGCACATATGCAGGTTTCGAGTTCAGTCCCCGGTCAAGGTGAAACTGGACTGAAGTCCCTGGAGAGACTCCAGGCAGGAGTATAATGATGAAAAGCACAGAATCTGGAGTCCAAATGCAGAAGTTTGGATTCCAGCTCCATCATGCACTGATAATGAAACTCGCACCTCAGCTTCCTCATGGGTAAAATGAGCACGGCAATAGTTCTAACCAAACGGGACGGTTGTCAGGACTGAAGAAAATAAGACCTGATGTTTGTACAGCTTAGGGTTTCTCCCTCGGAGTAAGTGCTCGCTCCTCTCGGGGCACCGTGAGGCCTGGAGAAAGGTCAGGGAGCAAGGCTTCTAGGGCTCCCCTCCACCAGGCCAACTGTCCCCTCACTTTGGGCTACTAACGTCAGGTTTCGTTTGTTCCACAAATTTGAAAACCAGTAATGAGTGTCTATTTCAGAGGAAAGACAGTCAAGATATACTGCTAAATGATAAAAGCAGGTTGTAAAAACAGTGTATTATAAATGGTCCTATTTTCCCTATGCCTGTATCATCTCCAAAAATATTTCCAAAATGTGATTATTATTGGATGGTAGAATTAAAGAAAACTTTTATTCTTTTTTCACATGTTGTTAATCTGCCTTTTATGATATGTTTTGCAATAAGATTTTAAATATATTTCTCTAAGGAATTTAAAGTATTCTTAATATTTGTTTGAAGTTTGTATTCTTAAATGGCAAAAAATCAAAACAAGACAAGGAAAGCAAAGATTAAGAGGTGGCATTAAGTACAAATTCCCCTCAATAAATTGTTCTGTTTTATCCTAGATTTTGGATGCAAATGGCAATGTTCTACCTCCTGGACAAGAAGGAGACATTGGCCTTCAAGTTCTGCCTAACCAGCCAGTTGGCCTTTTCACTCATTATGTAGTAAGAGACTGATTTTCTTTTTGTTTCTTAAAAGTCCTTGGTAATTATCCCTACTTGCCACAAAACATGCCTAGCAGGATAGGTAGTTGCCTTTTCTTGAGGGCCCCACTGTCCTGAGCAGTAATCCCTCAGAGAACTGAGAGCACCCCGTTGCTTGCTGGAGAAAGGCACACAGACCCCCTGGGCTAGGACCCTGCCCCAGGCCGTGAAGGCCGGAGGAAGGCAGCCCCAGACAGAAGATGGCCCCTTACCACACACTGGTTGTGAACAGCACCAATCATTCTCTGAAGCCCAGTCAGGGAGGGGCGAGAGGGATGGAGAATGGGGCGGTGACATTGAGTACATTTCTTCCACTAAAGGCCTTCCAAGCTCCCTACAAATGCATTTTCAGCTCTAATCATAGTACATACATAAAAGCAAAGTTTACATCAATATAACTGAAGGTCCAGGTTCTACTTGTTGGTGAATTTTACATAATATAGTAACACATCGTTTTTCTTCCTGCCAGTTACAGAACCAATTGTTTTCGTATAAAACCAGACAAAATACAAAAACAAAAAACCTGCCCTTTGAATTGTTAGGTGTTGGTGCTTTCTTTTAACTCTGTGTTCAGCTCTCTCTTTTCCTACCAGTATTTGATATTAGCCTATTAGAAAAGACTTAGCCTACTCCTCTGAGCTTGAGCTCCTGCAGTATTTATTTGTGATCTAAGGAAGGTCTCAGGATAGAAGCATGCCTAGTCCTTGTAGCTGTAGTTCACTTCTTACACTGGGCTGGCTCTGTGCTGGGATTTCATCCTTATTTCACATGCTGGCTCCTGTTCATTGGAAGCCTCTCAAAGGTACCAGACTTCTTTCTCCTGAACATTAAAAGTCCAGTGGAACAGAAAAGTCACATTCACAGTAATAACAACAACATGCTATTTGTTTCACAGGATAATCCTACAAAAACAGCTTCAACTCTACGAGGCAACTTCTACCTCACTGGGGACAGAGGCTACATAGATGAAGATGGATATTTCTGGTTTGTTGCAAGATCAGATGACATCATATTATCCTCTGGGTAATTTTTCATCTGTGCATATATCTATGTTAGCTGACCATCCGTGCTCTGGAGTGAACCTCCCACTCACCTTTATAAATTTCTGTCATATGTTTTACTTCCCAGTTACCGAATTGGACCATTTGAGGTAGAGAGTGCCCTGTCTGAGCATCCCGCAGTGGCCGAGTCGGCTGTTGTCAGCAGCCCAGACCCCATCAGAGGAGAGGTAAAAGAACAAATTCACCTCCACTTTGTAATGTGTTAGCAGTCTAACATACTTTTAAAATATGCTGATCAGAAAGAACTGGTACAGAATAAGACTGCAAAATATAGTCCTGGTCAGTTTGGCTCAGTAGTTAGAGCATTGGCCTGTGAACCGATGAGTCCCGGGTTCGATTCCAGTCAAGGGCACGTACCTCGGGTGCAGTTCATCCCCGGCCCTGGTCGAGTCATGGGGGAGCAGCCACTTGATGTGTCCCTTTCATGTCAATGTTTCTCTCTTTCTATCTTCCTCCCACTCTATCTGAACAAAAAAGAAAAAGAAAAAAGAAAAGACTGTAAAATATATACTATAAGGAATTTGAATCTTTTCCATGGAGGGCTGGGGCAAAGATGGTGTGAATGCCAATAACCGAGGCTTACACCAGGTAGGGTGTCCGAGGTCAGCTGGATAGGACCTGTTGTTACGCAGAGGTCTAGAAACCGACCTCTTCCCTGGAGTAGCGGAGAGGAGGCGGACAGCAGAAAGCAGGGGTGGGGAAAAGGTCAGAGACAGGAACTGAGACCACCAGAAGCAGGCGGGGTAGGTAAGCAAGCAGAGGATTCAGGAAATAAGCCGTAACTAAGACAAAGGTCTTGAAAGCTCACTCTGTTGGGGCTGATCACCTGGCAGTGTGGACTTGCAGGTTCCATGCCACCCTTCTGGCCCCATGTGCCAAGCCGACTCCCAGTACTCCAGATGGCTGAGGTCAGGGAACAGATTCAGTAATTACTCAAGTCTGTCCCTTTGCACTGAATGCTACCAGAGGGTTTCGTGAGTCTCAGCTCCTCCTGAACTTCTCCCCTAGGATCTGTCATCATTAATTTTATCCACCCCAACAGATGCTAACTTGATAGCTGAGCCTTTAGGACCAGGCTCGCTTGGTGACTCCGAGTACAAGGCAACCAAGTGGGTTCTGGCCCCCACAGGGGTCTTGGGGTAGAGTCTGCATTAGCCACGCGAGAGGGAAGGAGTGAGCAGTTCAGTTTCCCGAGTGAGCGGTGGCACTTCCTGGCAGATGTCCCGAAGAGCTGTCCATGTGCTGCGTTCCACCGCGGGCAGCACTTCTCCTGGCAGCGGCGCCCTCCGAGCTGGCTCGGTCCTCCAGGCCCCGTCTTGCCAGACCGAGGCTTGCGGAGCAAGTTCCAGAAGCCTGGATGAAACACAGATAAAATGAAGACATTGGAACACTATCTAAAATATTGATCGTTTTTATCTACCTACCACTCTTGCAATGTATTGTGTGTATATTCACACTGTTGTCTATTTTGAAATGTTTTAGCTTTAAAAACTCCTAATGCTATTTGCTAATTATAACTACTTTGACAGTTTTATGATTATTTTTTCTCAGGTAAAAAGTCCAAAAGCAGATGGATTTAAAATGACTATTTCGGCCCTGGCAGGTTTGGCTCAGCAGTTGGAGCGTCGGCCCATGGACCAGAATCCTGGGTTCGGTTCCCACTAAGGGCACGTACCTCGGTTGCAGTTTGTCCCCGGGCCCCGTTGGGGTCATGTGGGTGGCAGCCAGTCGATGTGTCTCTCTCACATTGATGTTTCTCTTTCTCTTCCTCCCTCTCTCCCTCTTACTCTATCTGAACATTAAAAAAAAAAGCAAAAATGTCCTCAGGTGAGAATTTAAAAAAAAAGAATATTTCACTCCTGGCCCATGTGGCTCAGTGGATTGAGTGTTGTCCTATGGACTGAGAAGTCCCGGTTCTATTCCCAGTCAGGGCACATGCCCAGGTTGTGGGCTTAATCCCGAGTAGGGGGCGTGCAGGAGGCAGTCAATCGATGTTTCTCTCTCACATAGATGTTTCTCTCTCTCTCCCCCTAAAAAAAATCAATAAAAACATTTAAAAAATAAAAGTAAAATGAATATTTCCCTAATTTAATTCCTGTATCTATAGCTTTGTGCACTCTGTTGGTTTCCACTTTTAGTCATTTCATGTGGTTACTTTGCTTTTATTTACTTATTAATCCTCACCCAAGGATTTTTTTCCATTGATTTTTAGAGAGAGTGGAAGAGAGGGGAGGGAGGGAGAGAGAAAGAAACGTGAATGTGAGAGAGACACATCGATTGGTTGCCTCCCGCACATGACCTGACCAGGGCCAGGGATGTGCCCTTGACTAGGAATTGAACCCTTGACCCTTCAGTGCTTGGGTCAACACTCTAACCACTGAGCAACACTGGCCAGGGGTGGTTCCTTGGCTTTTAAAAATTTATTTTCATCCAATGACTTAATTTACCTATTTAGGTACATTTTCACAATTTTAAAAAATGTTTGCTTTCTACTGGCTTTTTAATTTCTTTTTATCCTCACCCGAGGACATTTTCCATTTTTTGTTCAGATAGAGTGGGAGGGACAGAGAGAGAGAGAAACATCAACATGAAAGGGACACATCGAGTGGCTGCCACCCACACAACCCAAACAGGGCCGGGGACAAACTGCAACCGAGGTACATGCTGTTAGCAGGAACCGAACCCGGGTCTCTCTGGACCGCAGGCCAACACTCTCACCGCTGAGCCAAACCTGCCAGGGCTCTACTGGCTTTTTTAAGAGACAACTTCCAACAGGGACAAAGGGATGGATGACTCTATTACCATTGCTACTTCTGAAAAGAACATTTAAGTTTTAAATACTATTTTAACATTGGAATGTGAAATAAAGAGCTGAAAAATATGTCTAGGTTGCTGGGTTCCTAAATTTTTTGGATCACACAGCTCTTTGGAATTTGAAGGCTACTGGACTTCTGTAATGATGAAAATGTTCTGTATCTGCACCATCCAACACAATACCATCCCTGGTGTGACTGCGAAAATTTTATTTCATTTTAATTAGCTACATGTAGCTAATGGCTACCATTTTGAATAGTATAACCAGACTCTCATAAACGTGCAAAACTTTGCATGGTATTTTAGAAAAACTTTGAAGTCCACTTATGGTTTTTAAGTTTAAAAAAGCATCTTGTGCTCCTCCTACTACCACAACTAATACCACCTGATGTTCTTGAAGACTTACTATGTTCCAGGTATCACATAAGCCCTATACCTACATTCACTTAATCTTTCCAACATCTTTTATAGAGAAGGGTACTGAGGCAGAGAGGTGTCCTAACTTGCCCAGGATTATACAACCAAGTGTGATGTGAACCCAGGTTGTCACACTTCAGGGTTTATGCTCTTAACCAGGTTTGGTTGCTCCTTGTTAATTTATCATTTCCTGTAATGGTTTATAAAGACTTTTTTTTTATCCTCACCTGAGGACACTTTTGCATTTATCTTCAGACAAAGCGGGAATGAGAAAGGGAGGAAGAGAGAGAGAGAAACATCCATGTGAGAGAGACACATCGACCGGCTGCCACCCACACGACCCCAACTGGGGCTGGGGACAGACCACAACTGAGGTATATGCCCTTAGCAGGAACTGAACCCGGGACTCTCTGGTCCACGGGCCAATGCTCTAAACCGGCCACAGCTATAAAGACTTTTATAAAGACAGACTTTATGTAAGGTGTAGAAGTTACCAGTATGCAAAGCAGTAATTACAAACATTAGTTATAAAAATAATTTGCCTCTGAATGAACAATTCACTTATAGCAAGGATAAATAATTTTTAATTATATATTTTTATTGATTTTAGAGAGTGAGGAAGGGGTGCGCGGTGGGGGAGACAGAGAAACCTTGATGGAGAGTAGAATATCCACTGGCTGCCTCCTGCATGCCCCCTACTGGGGATCAAGTTCACAACCTGGCATATGCCCTGACTAGGAAATGAACCAGTGACCTTTTGGTGCATAAGACAATGGTCCCAACAGTCACACTGGCCAGGGCTAGCAAATTTTTAAAAAATAATTTTTTCTAATTCATAAAAATGTTGATAAAGCAGCAGAGCAGGCATAAATAAAAATGTTTAAGAAATGTCAAAATATGGATAAGGTGAAATTATATATATGCATATACAGACACACACACACACACACACAGTTGCACCACTGCCCATGGCACATGTAAATTAAAACCAAATGTATGGTAAAGACAAAAATGAAAAATTGCTCATAAAACGTTGTGAAACTGCTCACTGATAATCAACCATCAATGTGTGAAAACTGTATAACTGCAAGTCTTCATTTCTCACAGGTTGCCTGGAATGGTTTATTGTTCAAAAACTCATTTTCAATTAATATTTACTCCCAGATTACGGTGGATAGGGAATGCTGGCAGCTTATCTTCAAGCCGACCATATGAATCTAAATTATCCAGCATCCAAGCTGCAGGAGATTCCTGGGGCTGCACCCACGGGACGCAGCACCCTGGCGCCCCCGCTGGGACCTGGGTTTGGCGGTGCCTTGCTGTTTGACTCACCAGAGCTGCCTCTAGGGAAGGCAGTGCCGGCAGTGCCAGGAGCGAGCATTTAGGATCTCAGCACTCTTGAAGGGGCTACACGTGAGGGGTGACTTGCCTTCTCCATCACAGGTCCCAACACTGGGCAGGACTCTACACAACAATTCACGGAGGGGTGAGCTCTGAATATGTCTGAGCAGAGTGATGAAAGCTGCCCTGGCTTCTGCCAGCTAGAGAGCAAGGTCACCACCTCATCTACCTCTGTTCTTCGGGGCCAGGAAAGGGGGTGGGAGCAGCAGCACAGTGGCCGTGGGGATCTCCGCAGCCTGCACAGGAGTCTGGAAGAGAGGGTGTGGCCTCCATGAAGTGGTCCTTCAGCAGGCCTATGGCACGCCCAGTGTGAATACTGTTCGTGAGCTGGGAACCGAGAAGCTGGCTGGAGCAGGCTGGGCTGCTACATAAGTGGCTGTACTTGGTGTATTGCCACATTTCCCACAGGAAACTTTTTTGAAGGAGAAAAAAGATGAGGCAAAAAGACAAGAGGCCAGAGACAGGTAAGAAAGTGGAGTTGAAGATGTAGTTAGATGAGAAGGTTCAAGTGTAGACCATAAACAACAGGGGTCCCAGAAGCTCTCTTAGATTAGATCCAGAGCAGGAGCTACAGGAGCCAACGGGCTGGCTTCAACACACAGAGCTAGGATCAACCGTGTTTAAAACACTGGCCTTCCACCAGGCACTTTGATTCCCAGTCAGAGAAAGTAAACAAGACACACTAAAGCATAAAAATATACAATTCATCTTACTGGTGTTTCAAATGTTTATTTTAGGTAGTAAAGGCTTTTATTGTTCTGAACCCCGATTACAAGTCACATGGCCAAGAACGACTAAAAAAGGAGATTCAGGAGCATGTAAAAAAAACTACAGCACCTTACAAATATCCTAGAAAGGTAGGTATTCTAATTATGATGAATATTTACTCAGTGTTCTGGAAAGTTTGAGCTGTTTTTTTCTGTTAATGAACATGCTCCTCAAACATGCCACACCAAATGTTCTAAATTGAACCAATGACATGGACAAGAATCAGAACCTCTGAGATGAAACTCTAAAATTGAATTTGTTGGGTCATCTGGTTCACCAGACTTGTAGTAAAATATTGAATATCAAGAAAAATCTCAACAGTAACCCTCCCTCTCCCATTTTGGTTGTTGCCAAAATCCTACCCCAATGTGTGTCCTATTCTCTACCTAGAGTTCATGATAGAACCGCTATATAATTGCCTTTGTCTGAAGATGAAAACTTCTGGGCTGATTTTCTTCCCTTGATACTGACAGGTAGAATTTGTTCAAGAGCTTCCAAAGACGATCAGTGGGAAGATAAAAAGAAATGAACTGAGGAAGAAAGAATGGGAAACTATTTAAATCCATTCCAGTAATTACCACAGCATGCATCAAACAAAGAGTGCAGAGAAACCCTGAGATCATGAAGGGGTGATAAAAAGGTGGATAGTATGCTTATAAATTACTAACTTAAAATACCTTGTGGTTATAACATCAGAGGCTGAATTTTGAAAAAAAATAGTAAATTCCTCTGCGTTAGTGTCAGTGTTCTCATAACTTGTGAATACAAAAAGAATAAGATCAATTGATGAGAAATTTTTAAATGTAGAGGAGTTTCTGAACCAAATCTCTGATCTATTGGTTTTTAAATCTTAGTTGAATAATTCTTCTGCTATGTTAATAAACAAATCAGAGCCAATCTTCAAGCATTGAAATAAAACTAAACAAAAAGTCAGATTATCATAGTTCTCGAAGTAAAAGTATCTACCTGAAAAAATAGACTAGGGGTTTTTATTTGTCATATTTTTATTCAAATAACTTAAAAAAGTTTAAAATTTGTTTCAAGGTCTAACTGTAAAAGAAAGATATCATATACTATTATTGCTTATTATATTTAATTTAATACATGCATTTTACAAAATATTTCATTTGTGGTTCTTCAAAAAAGTATAAATTTGGCAAATGTAAATATATGAAATATAAATAAAATAGTGTAAGATATTTTAAGAATACTCATAATGTTTGGGAATTTAAGGAACAACCCGGATCCATACAGAAGACAAAAAGTAGACAGCTGGTGACTGAAATTAGAAGCCTGTGACATTTATTGTTTTCTGTGTGTGTGAGCAATAGCCCCAGGGCAGTATACAGAGCTCAGTTATGCTGTCCTCGTAACTTGTAGCCCTATACCCATTTCCTCTTTACCACACTAAAAGTCATATTGAAGTAAAAACACAGTTCAGATATAAAGTTCGTCAGTTCCTCATTGAAGGTCTGAGTCTCAGTGAATGTTTAGCAGACACATGGTCATTTTGGTCACAAACATGGCTTGTTTCTGCAGAGCTAAAAGCGAGTGCCCCAGAGGGACGACACCAGACTGTGCTGTTGGCCCTCTCCTTTTGAAGTGTTTGTTCCCATTTGAAATAACCACATTTTCTGTTTTCTTGATATTTCCCAGTAGGGCAACAATAGAAGGCTTTTCCACAGTTCGGTCCGTTACTAGAAACAACCCGTCTCTTGGACCTTCGGCCGCACTTGCACAACGGCGGCGTCATCTTCCCACTCTTCCAGGGCTCTCGTAGGTTAACTGGAGGAGTGAAGACAGAGGGGAGAGCCTTCTGAGAACTCACTGGGGAACCATCAGATGATATAGGCTTTTCTTTGTGAATAGTGAAGTTCTGCTTTTTTGCTAGGGGGAAGGTTGGGGGACTGGATGAATTCCTTTTAGTACCCCCTAAAAGACATCTTCCCAAAACGGAAGGATAAGACATACTGGCCTTAACAGTGTTCAAACTGCTTGATTTGCACTCAGGTAATTTAAAGTTAGAAACATCTGAACTTGAATATTTGGCCTCTTTTACATTATAAATAGTAGTATGCGGACTCCTATACACAATCGACTTAGAGGTCTCAGATTTTTGAGGAGTTTCTTCTGTGCCTCCAAGGTTTTCATAACTTAGCAGATCAGATTCTTTTAGAACCACTAACCTTTCTCCAGCATTAGATGAAGAAGCTAAGTCTGAGTCACTGATGGGAGGTATACAATCTGTATTTTGCTCAGGCTGAGATGTTGGTAGTAAAGCTGCATCCTCCCAATCAGCCAACATAGGTAAACAGTCAAGAGCAGAACTGATCTCCATATCAGAAACATGATTAACAGATGAAAGGGTAGTTGAAACAAGCACCAGTTCTGAACCCTTTGTTGAAGGCTCAGATTTGGTATGAAATGCATGATGTTCTTTTTTTATTTGCTTCTGCATAGGTGTCTTGAAGCTGGGACACTGCAACTGCCCCAGACATGTAGAGGACTGGGTATTGGAGAGAGATGAACAGTTTGTAACATTGCAGAGATCCACTCTTACATTGCTCTTTAGTTGTAACGCATCTTGCAGTACCTTGATAGAATTCACACCAACAGACTGCGTTTGAACTTTTTCAAGGTAATATATTGTATTTTTAGGTTCCCTACAACATAAACTGGGACCCTGAATGCTACTGTTGCAGGCCGATGTTTCTTCAACTTGATTGGTATTCAAATGTCTGGCCAAAACGTTGGGATTCTTCTTCGTGGGAACCTATGATTCCACAGACAAATCCAAGAGCTTTAGCAACTGTGCATTCAGAATTTCCTTAGTATACATTACATAACAAAAAAGAAAAATGCCATCAATGATTGACATAAATTACTGCACACATGACATCTACACTATCGTGACCTTACCATTACTTCTGAAGTTTGAGATGACAGAATAAAGGGGCAGGACGTCACTGACCTTGTTCAAGGACCTTGTAATTTTTATTAAGCAACCATCCCTGATCATTTTCCAAGCAAGAAGGGCAGTATTCCGAGAATCATCCAATCCTGAGGAAATAAAGATCAAACACTAAATTTAGTAGTACCAGTATAAAGACATATAGCAAAAATAACAACAAACAAAACAAAAACAAAAAACCCCATCACTTAACAGAAATGGGGACAAACTGTTAGTTTTACGTGATTGTAATCACAATAAGCTGGTCTCGTGGAAAGCTGTGGCAGCCCCACCAATGAGAGACAAGATCTCCCACATTTACAGAGGAGGAAGTGAAAATCTGTTAGTTCACAAAAATGTGACTAGCATTCTGTAGGAAACATGTTTTGTGTGTAATCTATTCATCTTGCTTAGTTTTTCACTAGTCTACTGTGTTATTTGGGCATTTGTTTACTTCCATTTGATTGGCTAATTCTTTTCATTCTTTTTTAAACCATTGGACTGCAACTGGATGGCAGGCTTGATCTTATAATACTTCATGAAAATGGTAATTTGAGCCTGAGAAACAACTTGTATGGATTAGTAGGAGCTTTATCTAAGCTGAAGGATATTCCTTATTAATTACATCACAAAAAAGGAAATTCACATGAAAGACTTTATAAAACATAGTTACTTACATAATAAAACGATTTTCAATTTATACTAACCGGAATGTTCTCGTCCCAAGAATTCTATTCCCACTTCCTGCAGGGCGCCACTTAGTCCTTTTGGTTTTCTCCTATAGAAAATCTAATACAGTAAATTCAGACATGTATTAAAAAGTGATTACTATGTGGAAAGCTATGTATTAACCACTGTTCATAACTTTTAGTTCTAGATTTGGAATGTGCTTATTTTTGTTATGTTTTTACATACTATAAGAAATACATTTGTGTGAATATCTCAAAAGAAAATATTCCTATTTGTAGGAATCCATACCCATGTGTGGAATAAAGTTTAATAATTTTTCAACAGAAGGAAAGTGAACATGCCCCTGCCTTTGACCCTACCTTGTAAGTTACTCTGAGATCAATCCAGGAATTTAAGAACACAGGTTTAAAGAGCTGTTTCCTTTTACACTCATACTCCAGGCAAACTCCCAAGTCCCAGTCTGCATTAAGTATATTAAAATGGAACAAAGTCAATAATGCCAGCAGGTTTTACTTATGCTATCATTTATATATAAAATGCTAACATGATGCTAAAATGCTCTCTCCCCCTCCCACCCTTTCACTCTATATAAAAAAAATTCTTAAAAAAAAAAATTAGGTAAAAAAAGTTTCAAAATGATTTTTTTTTTTTTAAGAAATCCTCCTTACCTGAGGATATTTTTCCTTTTATCTTCAGATAAGAGTGGGTAGGAGGGAGGGAGAGAGAGAGAAACATCGACGTGAGAGAGACACATTGACTGGTTGCCTCCTGCACAACCCTGACCAGGGCTGGGGACCGAACCGTCACCAAGGTACGTGCCCTTGACTGGAATTGAACCTGAGACCCTTTGGTCTTCGGGCCGACACTCTGACAGTTGAGTCAAACCAGCCAGGGCTCAAAATGATTTCTTAAACACCCAATTAGACACACTGAACATTTCAGAAAAAAGAGTAAGATGTCAAATTACAAGGGCTATATGGAGGTTATCTTCTCTCCACACTCTAAGAGAATATTCACGTACCTGGGAAACCAAACATATATGACCAATAGTGCTAAGCTAGCAATGACTCAGCTCTGCTATCCATGACTCCTGATGGCAACGCTGTCACAGGCACACACAAGACCTACTTTAAGTGGCCCATTTTAGTAAATGTGAAATAAAAGCAAAGAATATGAGTTGAATGAGGACTCTTTTTGTTCAAGATGGTATGAAGTAGCATGGTAAGAGCTAGCACTAAATCACCTTTACACGTATCTTGATTCAGAAGAAGAGAGGAACAATCAGGAAAATTCTTAAAGTTAAAGCTTAAAAATTTAAGGTATCTCAGAATGGTAATTTTTTAAAAAATGAATAAATTTACTTTTCTTGGTTAACGTCCGCTAGGCACTTGGATTTCTTTTCCTGGCCCAGAAGGTTAACAAGTATAATTCTTACTAGAGATAAAGGATTACATAGTGGTGATGCTACTCATTTATGACCGATAGATACAACTTTTTTTGTTGTTTTTACCTGACCAAGTAACAAATGCACACAATTTTACTTCTGAAGTAGACAGATCTGAAACCCCAGTAGCAAAAATAATTTTCTTCTGTTGCTGAATCTTCTGAATCCATTTACAGAACTGAGATAAGCAAATCTTCAGAGGGACTCCTTCCTCAACTTGAGCCTGAACAGAGTCACAAAATCTGAAATCAACCATTGAATTTCATAATTTTTGAGCACATAATTAGGCACCTTGGGGTATATAACAAAGAGGTTCTACTGACGAAGTGTTTATCTGAACAAGATTATTGGATTACTCACAAAACACAGTCCCTACAGACTGTTGGTCCCACATTTTTGTGAAAAGAAATAATATAATGATTAGAATTCTGTAAGGTCAGAAAAATGAGGTTACCAATCTAAAATCACATTGAAATATAATTAAATCCAGACCACTAGAAATTTGATGTATTTAATTTCCATAAAATAAATTTGATCATTCCTTTTTACAATACTATTCTTCCTAATTTTTAAAGATGCTAATGACTTCTGGAGGGGACATTATTTCTTCTAATACCTAGTAAATCTAATTTCAAATGGTATATAGCTTTTATTTTATCTCTGGAACTGATTTCTGAGCTCTAATATTTGCATCGCACCTGCCTGTTTATTGTGTGGTGGGGGTGAGAAGAGAGGTAGGGAAGAGGGAAGGGCATACCTGCTTTATGCCTGTCAGTTTCATGCAAAATTCAGAAAGAACTGGATGCTCCTGAGGCTGAACATAGGCATGGAACTCAGATTCAATCTCTCCAGTTGATGTGTTCAGCAATACTGCTGGAAATTCAACTACAGGAAAGAATCATCCACTGACACTTAACCAATTATTTTTTCAGTAAAAGCATATTAAATGACCAAAGCAGTGTGATGTAATGGTTATAATTAAAGTTAGGCTGAAGAATGTCAAAATAGTAAAGCTGAGTATATCTACTCAAAATTCTTGAATATATTTCCACCATTAAATATAAATACTACATGGAAGTTAAAATGTACTTACTCTTTTTTGCAAAGGTTTTTGTTTGTTTGTTTGTTTCTATATAATTTAGATTTTGTATATAATCCTAAAACAATTATTATTTTTTAATTTATTGGGGTGACAATGGTTAATAGAATTATATAGGTTTCAGGTGCACAATTCTATAGTACATCATCTCTATTGTGTGTTCACTACCCCAAGTCAAATCTCTTTCCATCACCATTTATCCCCCCATACCCTCTTCTACTTATCCTCACTAAAAAACTTATTTTATATGATGACACATTTAGGCATTAGATTTTTATTCTTTTGTTGTTGTTAAGTCAGGTTTTATAGTAAACTACCAATTCATAGACCAGCTTGCTTTCTTTAACTGTTGAATTGTTTATATCTATAAACTTTAAAGCAACTCATCTAATGCCAGCTTTGGCCATTGGCAGTCCAGACTTACTTATTTCCTGGGTCTGGTGGTGTTTCCCATCATTCCAACATGTTGACTCGAAATCAATAACAATTAAGTAGTCAAATAACTGCTCTGCAAAAGATCAGGGTGTTCTTATGCTTTGTCAGAGTTAAAAGTGCAAGCTACAAAATATAAAGGACCTAAGCACACTACTTACTTAGTTTTCTTCTTCCTAGACTTTCATTTGCTGGTGCAATAGACTTTCTCCTAATTAATCCAAGCTGCCTAAAAAATGTAAAGTAACCCCATCTGGTTAACAAACTCATTCACACTCCTGTTTGAATAGGCTAACAGATTAATGGTACAACTCATTATTAATGTATTGATTGGGAGGAAACTGAACTGGACTTTGAGAGCAACAGACTTTGGTTCTTGCACTAACCACCACCCTCTCTTGATTTTAGTAATCATGGACCTACAAGGACCTCAAAGTACATATTTGCAGACCTAGACTAATTCTTTCTGCTCCCCTTATTTTACAGTAATACTGAGGAACTCATGTGGCTGTAGGGGTAAAAGTGCATTGAAACGCTTGTTGTTTTTGCCTTTGCATTTTTCAAGCCCTTCCTAATGCACACAGCACAGTTCTGAGGAGGTAGGACATGTCTAGTCTTCTAGGAACTTAGACTATCTGGGCAAAGAAACTAGACCCCCATGGTGAGCTACTGTAGGATCCCCAAAGGCAGTACGCTGAGTGCACAGGAAGGAATGGGTTCACTGAGGTCTTAAGTGTCGGCGAGACAAACTACTTTGATGAGTAGGTAGAGTTTACCTGGGGAGACACCTGTTTGGGTTTTGTTTAAGAGGTGTGATGAGGAGTTGGGATTAATAGCTAACATTTACTGGTTCGTACTGCACTGAAGGCACTGAACTAAGACAGTGACCTCATTTAACGAATCCTCAACTGTACAAGGTGGTCGTTTTTGCTACCTATATTTAATGATGAGAAAACGAATTCAGTAATTCGCCAAAGAACACGCTTGGTGTGTGAGCCCAGGATCCTCCCACCCTGAGCCCAAGCTATTCGCTAACACTCGACCCTCCTCTAAAAATCGGACCTGTGCACAGAACTTGCAGGCATCAGGGGCAAGGCCGCGACGCCCACCAGGAAGTGGTGTGAACAACTTGGCGGGGCGTGGGGGCTGCCGGCGACCCCCGAACCGCCCACGCGGCGCTGTCCAGTCGTCCCCGAGGCCTGCACACGCCTCCGGGTCCCGGTGGCAGACGAGGGCTGCAGACGACGGAGGCCGCCCCCGGCACCCTCACCTCGGCCCCCGCTCCCCCCTCTCCAGTCCCCCCGCCCCGGCCGCAGCCCTCCGCCTACCGCGCCAAGTTCTTGGTCGCCATCCCCCGCAGCCCGGCGGCCGGAAGTCTCCCTGTCCCCACTTCCGGTCTGTTCAAAGGTCCCGCGCAGCACGCCCGCGGCGCGCGTCCAGGCGGGTCTGGGCGGCGGCTGTGCGGTCTCGGCGCGGCCGTGGGGTGCAGGGTTCGGTGGGGAGCCTGCCCGGCAGAGCCCCCTTCCGTCTCCCAGCGGAGGGCCGCAGTCGGCTGTGCGGCGGGGCCCCGGAGCTGCCGCAGAACCGTTAGGCGGGGTGGGGCCGGGGGGCGGGGCGGGGGCGGGGCCGGGCGGGGCCGGGGCCGGGGGCGGGGCGAGGCCGGGCGGGGGCGGGGCCGAGGCGGGGCCGGGGCGGGGCGAGGCCTGGCGGGGCGGGGCCGGGGAAGGGGCGGGGGCGGGGCCGGGCGGGGGCGGGGCCGAGGCGGGGCCGGGGCGGGGCGAGGCCTGGCGGGGCGGGGCCGGGGAAGGGGCGGGGCGAGGCCGGGCGGGGCCGGGGGCGGGGGCGGGGCGAGGCCGGGCGGGGGCGGGGCGAGGCCGGGCGGGGGCGGGGCCGAGGCGGGGCCGGGGCGGGGCGAGGCCTGGCGGGGCGGGGCCGGGGAAGGGGCGGGGCGAGGCCGGGCGGGGCCGGGGGCGGGGGCGGGGCGAGGCCGGGCGGGGGCGGGGCCGGGGAAGGGGCGGGGGCGGGGCCGGGGAAGGGGCGGGGGCGGGGCCGGGGCGGCCGGGCGGGCCTCGCGCCGGGGAGCGCTGAGACAGCGGCGTGTGCCCGTGCGCTCGGCAGAGCAGCGGAGTGAAGGAGGGCGGGCCCGCGTGGGCCGGCAGAGCGGCGGTGGAGGGTGGGCGGGCCGGCGTGGGCCGGCAGAGCGGCGGTGGAGGGTGGGCCGGCTCGGCCTGGGGCGCGGTCGCGTGTCTGGCTTTGCGGCAGAACGCGTGCTGTGGTCCCGGCCCCTTCAGTCCGGCCCTCGGCCCTGTCCTCGAGGCCCGTGACCTTTCTGCTTTGGAAGAGTCCCGGCAGTGCTTTTCTAGGTCCTCCCTCACGTGAGGTTTTCTGTCTGCTTGTTACTGAGCCCTGCCTGAGCTGTGCTTGCACTGACTTTGAGACAGAGGGAGCGGGGACGGGACATCCATCCGCGGCCCTGCCCGGCGGGGTCGCCGCGCCCACAGCCGGGCCCTGCTGCCCGGCTCCCTGCTGGTTGGGGGCGCCCTGCTGGTTGGGGGCGCCCTGCTGGACGCGGGCTCCCTGCTGCCCGCGGTCTCCCTGCTGCCCGCGGTCTCCCTGCTGGACGCGGGCTCCCTGCTGGACGCGGGCTCCCTGCTGCCCGCGGGCTCCCTGCTGCCCGCGGTCTCCCTGCTGCCCGCGGTCTCCCTGCTGGACGCGGGCTCCCTGCTGCCCGCGGGCTCCCTGCTGGACGCGGGCTCCCTGCTGCCCGCGGGCTCCCTGCTGGACGCGGGCTCCCTGCTGGACGCGGTCTCCCTGCTGCCCGCGGTCTCCCTGCTGGACGCGGTCTCCCTGCTGCCCGCGGTCTCCCTGCTGGACGCGGTCTCCCTGCTGGACGCGGGCTCCCTGCTGCCCGCGGTCTCCCTGCTGCCCGCGGGCTCCCTGCTGGACGCGGGCTCCCTGCTGCCCGCGGGCTCCCTGCTGGACGCGGGCTCCCTGCTGGACGCGGTCTCCCTGCTGCCCGCGGTCTCCCTGCTGGACGCGGGCTCCCTGCTGGACGCGGTCTCCCTGCTGCCCGCGGGCTCCCTGCTGGACGCGGGCTCCCTGCTGGACGCGGTCTCCCTGCTGCCCGCGGGCTCCCTGCTGCCCGCGGGCTCCCTGCTGCCCGCGGTCTCCCTGCTGGACGCGGGCTCCCTGCTGGACGCGGGCTCCCTGCTGCCCGCGGGCTCCCTGCTGCCCGCGGTCTCCCTGCTGCCCGCGGGCTCCCTGCTGCCCGCGGTCTCCCTGCTGCCCGCGGGCTCCCTGCTGGACGCGGGCTCCCTGCTGCCCGCGGGCTCCCTGCTGGACGCGGGCTCCCTGCTGCCCGCGGTCTCCCTGCTGGACGCGGTCTCCCTGCTGCCCGCGGTCTCCCTGCTGGACGCGGGCTCCCTGCTGCCCGCGGGCTCCCTGCTGCCCGCGGTCTCCCTGCTGCCCGCGGGCTCCCTGCTGGACGCGGGCTCCCTGCTGCCCGCGGTCTCCCTGCTGCCCGCGGTCTCCCTGCTGCCCGCGGTCTCCCTGCTGGACGCGGGCTCCCTGCTGCCCGCGGGCTCCCTGCTGCCCGCGGGCTCCCTGCTGCCCGCGGTCTCCCTGCTGCCCGCGGGCTCCCTGCTGGACGCGGGCTCCCTGCTGGACGCGGGCTCCCTGCTGGACGCGGGCTCCCTGCTGCCCGCGGGCTCCCTGCTGCACGCGCGCTCCCTGCTGGACGGGGGCCCCCTGCTGCCCGCGGGCTCCCTGCTGGACGCGGGCTCCCTGCTGCCCGCGGGCTCCCTGCTGGACGCGGGCTCCCTGCTGGACGCGGGCTCAGTCTGCGCAGGACGAGCACGGATTCTCTGTTCTCTCGTGTTCCATCAGGTGCACATGGTTTTCACTGTCCTGTTTGGTCACATTAACCTTGATTAGTTGATTCAACGTTTCTAAAATTACTCTTTTTCTCTCATTTTGTGGGGAAATACTTTCTCATTAAACTGCTGATTTTTTCCCTCAGTACGAACTCATGGTTCTCTATTGTATTCGATGGATTATAATCCATTTTCAAACTTTGATGCTGAAAATATCCCAGATTTGACCGTGGACAGGGGTGGACAAGACCCCGCCATTCTTTGGCACAGACCTCCAGGCGGCTCTGGCTTCCCCCGCCCCAGTCCTGGAAGCGCCCCTTCTCCTAGGATGCGAGGTTCTTTTCAGCAGCCAATGACATTTGGAAACTTAAGATTTGGGTGCTATATGTGCTCATTGCTGTTAGGGTGTTAATACTCCCAAAAGAGAGCTGGGAAATACACACAAACACATGTACACGTTTATGACACTAAATATTTATACTTAAGTACATAATTGATATCAATTTTATTTATAAAGGTTGTCATAATGTTTGAGTCCGCCTGTGTTGCTCAGTGGTTCCGTGTCGACCCTGCACCAAGAGGTCACTGGTTCAATTCCTGGCCAGGGCCCATGCCCAGGTTGTGGGCCCAGTCCCCCCTGAGGGGCATGCAGGAGGTGGCCAGTGTTCTCTATTCAATGTTTCTGTTTCTCCCTCCCTTCTTCTCTCTCTAAAAAGCAATAAAAAATTTTGTCATTTAAAAACATTTAATTGGATTAATTTTTAAATGTATAATACATATTACATTAAATATGTATATATACATATTTTAAGTACCATTAATTCATATCAGTAGTTATATTTCCAATCCAATTCCACAGGGTTCATTCTGATTTTGTCTCTTTTCATGTTTATAATTTCCTTCTCTGAGAAACTCCCATTATCTTCAATATATTTTATTAGTCCCCCATTGCTGTCACTGCCCCTCACCTGCTTGGCCTGTCTCTCTGCACCTTACACCGGGTTATCCTGTGTGAATGCCCTCATCACTACTGCGACAGGCTGTGCTCTCAGCCTTCTCACATGGACACCCTGGCCCTGCTCAGGCTCTGAATCCTGCTGTCCCTCAGCACGGATGCCTGCTTACCCTGAACAATCTCTGACCTGATGCCAGGTCCCTGCTCGTCCCTTCCCACTGTGTGCTGCCCTCCTCACGCTGCTCAGGTTTGACGCCCCACAGTGCTTCCCGCATGTGTGTGCTGTGTGTCTGCCCCCGTCCCGGGCCATCTCCACTGTGATGTCCTCTTCACCCTTCTCAGGCCCTGACAGCCTGCTCAGCAACCATATAAACCCTGCTTCACTCAGTTCCGCTGTGTCAGTCTCACACAGTTTTGGTTGGTAAGCATAAATTGGTACATTCCTTTAGGAGCTAGCAATATTTGTCAGAATGTCATCTACACATGCTTATTTTGACCAGAAATTTATCCTAAGAAAATAGGTATACAAGGGTATCTATACAAGGATACTCAACACTGTTTGTAATTTGAGAAAAAACAGTGTCATCAATAGGGATTTTTTTTTCAGATAAATTATACGTTTTTAGGTAAGTTTAAAGAATGGACTATTACTAAAATTTAAAAGTCACAGGGGAAAATAGCAGTCATAGTGTCTGACGTGCATTGAGTGCGATGACACGTCAGGCACTGCCTCAGTCTGTTGCCCTTGCACTGCCTCACTGGTTCCCCAGCAGTTTCACCAGGTGGAGTGAGAGGTACTGTGTGTAGATGAAGAAATGGCATCTCGGGAGGCCAAGGCACTTGTCTCAGATGGTAGAGCTGGTGTTTGAACTCAGGTTGTATGTCCAGGCCGTGAGCTCACCACTGCACTCTGCTGCCTCTTCGATGTGATGAAAGCGGTAACCATCTCCTGTGTTGTACGGGTACAGGACAGGTGATTTTTGTTTTCATCTGTTGTCTGTCTTTTACCTTTCTTTATTATCTGACTCTTTTTAAACAAGCACAGTATACACCAATAACCAGATTTAAATGCAAAGCTATTTTAAGGAGGGGCGGAGCCTCAGTGAACTCCCTGCTGCCCCCCCCCCCCCCCATCAAGTCTAACCCTTGGCTTGGACCAGATGGTCTTCTGTGGCCTGGCTCCCACTTCTTTCCTGTCTCTGCTGCACTGCAACATGCAGTCTTGGCTGTGGCCAAACAAAACTACATATTTAGACACAATGTTTCCTCCTACCTGGCTGACTCTTTATTTTCAAGCCTCAACCCCATTATTTTTGTCTCAGAGAAACTGTCCCCCAAACATTCTAACCCCAAGGCAGTTGGCCTCGTGGCTCCTGTACCTTTATACTAGCATTTACCCACATTGTATTGGAGTTAATCTGTTTCTGCATTTCCCCCTAGTAGAACAGACTCCTCGAGAGCGTGAATCATGTTGTCTTCATCCTACTACTCTTAACGTGGCCAAGTATCTGTAATTAAGGTTCTGTATCAGTATTTGTTAGGGTTTTGTTTGGGCCCGTGACAGGGACTTGTGAAAGCATTCACAAGAGCGGAGAGAGGAAAGGGAGGAAGTTTACTTCTCTTTCCCCACAGTCAGGGAAAGGACCCAGGCGCTGACTGGCAATGCCAGGGCAGGGCAGAAAGAGTGAGTTGCTCTGTCACTGGGGGCTTTGGGAGTCAAGGGCAGTTGGGGCTGGAGGAGATCTCGGTGAAGCCGAATAGACGCGGGGTTGGTTACCTTGAGGAGCTGCGGTTTGTCTGTCCTCAGGAGACGGTCTGGCTGATGTGCCAAAGGGTTTCTTATCATATCTTCTGTAGTCTGTAAAATGTGCTTTGGAGTAGAGTGTAAAAAGGGGATTTTTACCTGAGGGGTTATAATGAATTCGGAAGAGAGGGGTTTGTTTGAAGGGGAGAAGGGGAAGGAAGTTCCTAGTCATTAGAGACTCTGGTGTGAATCACTTTGGGATGCTCAGTGCGGCCGGAGAGAGCCCAGCCCTGTCTGTTTACTGTTCGGGTAGAAAGGGGTTTGAAGTTACAGACACCAGCAATCTCCGCATTTAACTTCCAGGTGCTTCTCATAAGTTATGGAAAGATCATAGCAAAGAGAAAAGCTTGGCCTACCCTGGTCTGAGAGGTCCTGGCTCAGTTCCTGGCCAGGTCACAGGCACAGTCCCCAGTGAGGGGCATGCAGGAGGCAGCTGGTTGGTGTAGTGTGTCTTTCTCACATTGATGTTTCTCTAAAAAATCAATACAAACATTTATTTTTTAAAAAGCCTGTTTCCTCTCCTTAGTGTTAAGTATTCCACTAATAATGTCACATCACAGATTGTAGTTTTAGACCTGCTGATTAATTATAACCCTCCTTATGTTTGGATATATGCTAAAATTATTAGAAACTAGAATATTTTAATAGTTTGTCTTTGTTGTTGTTTTCAATAATCATAATTTGATATACCCTGATTTTACCTTTACAGAAAGCACGCTTACCTACCATTTTATTTGCTGAAAACTGTGAAGTAACCTATGACCAGCTACGTGAATTGCTGAAGTATGCTGTTCTGGGCAAATCCAGTGCTCCAAACCTAGGCATGAGATTAGCTTAAATGGTGGGGATAGACCTGAGGTTTCAAACCAATGTCTACAGTGCCTTAACTGGCATTATTTGTTTGCCATACAGAATTTCCTTAAAAAAATTTTTTTAATGATGGTTGCAAACAATTTTATTCGGGAATTCTTTTATAAAATTCAGATTTTTGACTTCTTCAAAAAGTCAAAGATCTGCAACTGTCCCTGTATTCCCACATGGCAACATTTGTCAAAGCTGAGTAGTGGCCTCTCACTTTAGGGGGGGCATGTGCATTCAGGGTCCCTCCTGGCCAGCTCCCCTATCTCTGGCTGCTGTGGGTGTTTTGGTTGGTAACCTCCAGTGGAGAGACCCAATTGAAATAACAGGATCATGAACAAGTGTCGGCGAGAAAGTGGAGAAAGGGAGCCCTCTCCTGCTGTTGACGGGATTGCAAAGTGATGCAGCCAATGTGGGAAACACTCTGGACGTTCCTAAAAAAATGAAAAATAGAGTTCTCGTGTGATCCAAGAACCCCACTTCTGGGTATTTATCTGGAGGAAATGCAAACAATAATTTGAAAAGATAGCTGCACCCCAGCATTATCTAAAATAGCCAAGATATGGAAGCAGCCCAGGTGTCCATCAGCAGATCAAATATGTGTATATATATATATACAGGAGAATATGCAGCCAAAAGAGGGAGGAAATCTTGCCATTTACAATAACATGGATGGACCTAGGGGGCATTATATTTATTGTTGTTTTTTTTATCCTCACCTGAGGACATTTTTCCGTTTTTTATTCAGACAGAGCAGGAGGGAGAGGGAAGAAGAGAGAGAGAGAGAGAGAGAGAGAAACATCGATGTGAAAGGGACACATCGAGGGGCTGCCACCCGCACGACCCAACCAGGGCTGGGAACAAACTACAACTGAAGTACATGCCCTTAGCGGGAACCAAACCGGGGTATCTCTGGACCGCAGGCCGACGCTCTACCGCTGAGCCAAACCGGCCAGGGCCCTAGGGGGCATTATGCTGAGTGAAATAAGTCAGACAGAATGACAAACACTGTATGATCTCACTTATACATGGAATCTAAAGAACAAAGTTAACAATCAGACTCGTAGATACAGAGAACAAACTGATAGTTGCCAGACGGGATGGGGGTTGGGAAGCCAGATGGAAAGAGCTGAAGGGATTAAGAAGTTATAAAAATAGTCACGGAGATGTGAAGTGCAGCAGAGGGAATATAGTTAGTAATATAATAACTATGTTTGGTGCCAGGTGGGTACTGGAACTGTTGGGGGGATCACTTCATAAATTACTAAATCTCTAACCACTATGCTTATTATACCTGAAACTATAATATTGAATATCAACTACAATTGAAAATTTACAAAAAAAGAAAAAACGAAATGACATGATCATATGTTAAGATTCTCAATCTTTTTTCCTCCTTTTATAAATAAAGGGCAAAGAGAATTTTACTCTTCTGACATCTGTAATGTTACTATTAAATGTGTAATGAAAATGGCTGTTTTATATGTACCAATAGAGAGATTTTCAGATGCACACCTCTGTCTGGGGGAGGTTGTCTGGATACCTCAAAAGTCATCTTCTGCATTAACCAGTATTGCCGTCAGTCTGTCAGTTTATCCAAAACCAGCTTTCTTGCCGTCAGCCACGTGATTGCCTGCCCAGGGAGAACCGCTGAGCAAGTTGGGATCTTGAGATTGGTGCCTGTTTAAAACAATTCTGAATTTAAGATTTGACACAAATTTCAACAGGATTTTGGATTGAATACATTGCTTTTCACATGCTATGTTACTTGGTTTGAATGTAATAAATAGTTATCTCAAGAAATCTGTTTTGAGTCCTGGGCAGTAATAGCAGTTTTCCATTTCCAGGCAGTCAGTGAGTGATGATAAACTCCATTAGCTGTTGCTCCCTGCTTTTTTTCCACACTTCCCTCTGTATGTCTGCCGCAGACTTGATGGTGTTGCTCTTAGCTGTGTTGTTTGATTTTTCAGCAGCTGGTGCCGGCTTTCTTACCCCCACCTGAACAGCGTTGTGGTGCTCGTGCTGCAGGTAACGAGTCAGCCACACTCTCATAGGTTCTACCTGGCGTTTCGATCTCCCCGAAAGGCATACATGTAAGTTAACACAGCTTTGTCCTGGAGCCTGAGCGAGGACCTCCACCCAGACATCGGTGCACACGTCCCACACCGTGGCCCTCGGTGACCTGACTGAAAAAGCGACAGGGTGATGGAATGTGAAAAGACAAAGATGCACAGGTCTCATGTTGAGATTAGGTTTGTCTTTGATTTTCTTTGGAAACGTAGGCAAAAATGTTATTCCCAGATTGAAGTCTATAGTTCCCAGGTTGATTTTGTCCTCTTTCATTTAGGCTGTGGTGTTTTCAAAAATTGTGAAATTTACATAAAATCTATATTTTTAGCCTCTCTCGACAACATCACAAGATTGGGCCACTTCGAGCAGTATCTGGAACTGAAGAGCAGCTGTCATCTTTAGAAGAGACATGTGCTCTCCACTCTCCCAGAGCCTCTACCAGTCCCTATTGGACTGTTCATCCATTCACCCTGAGGGCATTGGAGTTGGTGAGCCCTAATTTCATCTCCCTGGGTCTCCATTTTCGTTTGTGCTCTCATTCATTGAACACTGCCTGTGTGCTAGGCCTGCACTAATCATGCTGCACGCATCGTCTATAACTCTCACAGCAGTCCTCTAAGAGATTCTTGTTTCTCATCCTCACCCGAGGACATTTTTTCATTTTTTGTTAAGATAGAGTGGGAGGGAGAGAGAGGGAGAGGGAGAGAGAGAGAGAGAGAAACATCGACGTGAAGGGACACATCGAGTGGCTGCCACCCGCACGACCCAACCAGGGCCTGGGACAAACTGCAACCGAGGTACATGCCCTTAGCGGGAACCGAACCCGGGTCTCTCTGGACCGCAGGCGGACGCTCTAACCGCTGAGCCAAACCGGCCAGGGCTGAAGAGATTTTCATTCCCATTTTATACATAGGAAAACTGAGTGACTTGTCCAAATCACAGCAGTTTAAGCCCAGGCGAGCCTGAGGCTGGAGCTCTCAACTGCTTTGCTTTGTTGTGTCGTCCTAACCTACCCGCTGCTGTCCACTGAAGTATAGGTTTGGGAGTGCTTTAAAAGATACAGGGGGCGTTTCTAAGTTATGCATTTCTGTAGTGTTTGTCTTACTCGCAATGTATAATTGAAGAAGCAAAGAAAATTTCTGGCGTGGGATAAATGTGACTTCACATACCTAGCCACTTTTAACACCTTAAGGAAACAGTCCTCATTTTATAATGCAAGTAATTAAGGTCCAGACCTTCCGTAGCACTGAGTTTACAGTACAGTAAAAGGTCTTTGACAGTATTTTAACTGCTTTCGAGCATTTTTGTAAAAACCTATTGTTATTTGCAGAAATTCCACTTGCCTTCGCCATCTTCTGATTTCCTAGCTGATGTCACTGGACTTCAAAAGAAACAAACAGCTGGGGTTCTGCCCAAGACCGTCGCAGGTATGGCTGTGGCTGGTTGGACCTGCTCATTCGAAAAGATGTCAAGTAGGAGTGTCAGTTATTTTTATTCTTGTAAGCAGCACTACTCAATGCTAACTAACTTAAGGAGAAAGCAGTCTTTTAAAGGAAAAAAATGGGTAAGTATCCAAGGAGATTAGACAACAGAGATCCTAGCTGGGATTTAATGGCTAAGAAACCATCTGGTTGTTAGATAGCTAAGGCTTCCTCTGGTTATCACAGACATTGGACTCTTACGAATTACTGTGACTAATTTTTAAACCGTCACTGGGTCTTTGTACCTACATGTGTATGGATGGGAAGGAAGATCTTGCCTTTGACTAATGTAAGGGGCAACCCACTATTACTGCTCACAGTGGAGAAGAAACAGGAGGTTTACATGCTGGCCAGATAAAAGATAAGATGTCCACGATAGCAGTGTTTTTCTAACTGTGGGCTGTCGATGTTTGGGATGACTGGACGGGGGCAGGGATGGAATAAGGAGGAAATGTTGGAGATGAGGCTTGAGAGGTCAGTTAGGGCCATGTCCTGTAAGCTGGAAGGGCCATGCAAAGGACTTTGGAGTTTATTCTGTAGCCATGGAGGAGTCAGAGGGTTATGGCTATTTCTCTGTCCCCTTAAAGATTTCACTTTGTTTTCTCATCCTAAATATCAAGGTTCCCAAGGCACAGTCTACGGCACTGTGATCTTCCTTTGGAATATGCATCTGTTCTGTCCATGTTTACCTGCCGCTCGTCTGTGGATCTCCTGTATTTTTATCTTTAGGCCTGATACCCCAGATCCAGGTCTGGGTTTTCGATGGCCTGCTGGATATTGCTACTTGGCTATATTCCATTGTCCCCTTGATCATAACAGTTAAAAGCATTTTCTCATCCCCAAATAATAGACTCCCATCTTCCAATCCCGTTTTCTGTTGGTACCATTTTTCTCTAAGACACCAGTTTGAATCTAAGAATGACTTGTAGCTCTTCACAACCAGTCTGCATAGTTCCTTCCCTTCGCTCTGAGTCTCTGTTCAGATGTCACCTTGAGAGAGAGGCCTGCCCTGATCATTGTAATATGTAGCGACCCTTTTCCTGCCCACAACTCCTTGTCCTTCTTTACCTCCTTTGCCTGCTCCGTAGTCCTTGTCCTCACCTGCTGTTCTGTTACTCGTCTACTGTTCATCTTCCCAGCCAGGATAACGTGCCCTGGAGACTTTTGTGCTCAGTGAGTAAGTGTTTTGTTGACTGAACTGAATTGTTCTATCTCTGTGCTCTACCAGTTTTTCTTGTGTAATGTTCTTTCATACATTGCTATTCCTCCATCCTTTTCACCATCCTAATCTAGACCTTCTCTCATTTTTCTCCCTGCTCCATTTTCTGCATGCCTTTGAGATTGCTCTTTCTTAAAATATGGTTTGGTTATACCACTTCCCTTCTCGGGAACTGTCTTTTGCTCCCCATTGTATATTGAATGAGCCAGACATTCACAGTGGTCTGCAGTTTACTTTTAGCCCTCCTCTCAGCCTGGTCGCCTGCACTGCTCTCCCCAGTGGTCTGGTCACTGCCACACCACTTTGCTTGGTGCACGTCCGCCTTGCTTGGAATGCCTTCCTTCTGCTTAGGAGACTGGCTGTTTTGGTTCAAAGACCAGAAACTCATCAGGCCACCTGAAGCGAGAGGAGTGTTACTTCAGGATGTGCGGACTAGAAAGCCCTCAGGAGTCTAGTGCCCCCAGTGAAGAGCTGCTCCCGGCCCCTTCTCGTTTCTGTAGTTCCAGAAGCAGCACTCTGACGAGCGTAGCTAATTACCATTGTTGCTCTTGAACATGTCTTGACGAGGAGTCTCAGGGCATTGGTCAGTTTGTAGATGGTCCCTCCTAAGCTAGGCTGGTGCTTAGTAAGTGGCTAGAGACGGAATTGCTGTCAGGAGTGGCAGGCACTGTAAGGGACAGGTCTGATACAGCAGTTACATGAATCCTGCCTTTGAGACCCAATTGATCTGTTCTTCTCTTGGGCCGTCTCTGACCACCCCAGCCAGTTTATTCTCTTCCTTTTCCTTTTATAGCCGTTGCTATTATAGACTGTTTGGAACTTATTTTCTCTTTGTGTTCTTATAACTGTATCAGCGTCTCCTTAAAAGTTGGGGTTGGGTCTCACACATCTTTTGATTTTCGCTATTCTTACCCTTCACAGCGTAAAAGCCATATCCTCTGGGGTGTCTCACACACAGATCTAAGGAAGTATGTGCCACTGTCCTTCTCAATGTAGGGTCTTCACCTTCTGCCAGTTCAAACGTCAGCATCAACCTACAGAATGGCCCATCGTTCAGAAGTACGGCTCTAAGAAAGTGCGCTTGACCCGCCTGCTCACGGAGGAGGAAATGCAAGCATTTCACTCTCCGTTACAAGGCTGGTGTAGATGTGATCGGACATTGGTAGCAATATAAGACTATCTAGGGGTTTATTCAAAAATATTACTGTTGGAAGTTTTTTGGGGGGGAGGGGGGCTACTTTCCAAGTGATTTGTTCCATCTTCTGTTAATGGGGAATTACTTTAATACAATGTTTCCTGAAGTATAGGATGTGTACTGTGGTTGGTAAAGTGGTGATTTGAGGTAGTATATGAACATGACCTTAAATAGCATTGCAATACTGAAAGGAAAGTTATTCCTTTTTCTGTTTTCTTTCATGTCTTCTTAGTATGTTAAAAAGTCAGTGTGTCTTGAGCCTTCCCCAATGCTTCTAGTCCTCCTCTCAGCCTCCCCTCCCATGCACAGAGCATCCTGGGCTCAGCCTTGGTTAGTTATGCAGCAAGAATTTTATATAAACGGTTCTGTTTTATTTTATTTTACTACCTCTTAACCGCAGCAGTGATGTTAAATTTCCTTTTTAAAAAAATAATAAAACAACTCTATTGAGATATAATTAACCTACCATAGAAGTCGCCAATTTAAAGTATACAGTTCAAAAATAAATAAATAAAGAACACAGTTCAATAGTGTTTGGTATGTTTTTACAGAGTTCTATAGCCATCACCACAGTCCATTTTGGGATACTTTTGTCACCCCAAAAGAAACCCCATACTATTATTTCTCCCACAAGACCCTTCGCCCTAGTCAACCACTAATCTACTTTCTGTCTATAGATTTACCTACTATAGATATTTCGCATAAATGGAATTGTGGTCTTTTGTGACTGGCTTCTTTCATTTAACATGAAGTTTCAGGGTTCATCTATGTTGCAGCATGGACCAGTACTTCATTTATTTTCATTCCAGTTCTGTTCTATGTATAAATATGTCACATTTGATTTATTTATTCATCAGTTGATGGCCATTTGGGTTGTTCACGTTTTGGCTCTTATGAGTAAGGCTGTTGTGAACATTCAGGCGCAAATTTTGTGTAGACGGACATTTCCGTTTTCCAGACTCTCTTCCATTCCCGCCAGCAGGGTGTGAGCATCCAGTTTCTGCACATTGCTGCCAGCATCTGTAATTCTCTGCCTCTGCGTTACAGCCATCACTGTGCATGGGGAGTGGTATCTTTGTAGCTTGATCTGCATTTCTCTGATGGCTAATGATGAAGAGCATCTCTTCCTATGCTTATTGGCCACTTTATATTTTTTCAGATCCTGTGTCCATTTTTTAAATTGGGCTATCTTTATTATTGAGTTATTAGAAATCTCTATATATTCTGGAAATAAATTTTCTTTTAAAATAAATTTATTTAAGTGAAAAAACTCTTTGTAAAATGGTTTATATACCGTAAGATTTCCATGAGGATTAAATGAGTTAATGTACAAAAGTGGTGCCCAGCAGAGAATGCTGTAAAATGTTAGTAATTTTGTGTTATTATTGCCACTGATAATATAGTGAGGAGAGCAGCAAGTATACTGTCTCCCAGATGTGGGGATGCCTCTCTTTTCTAATGTAGGTCATATTTGGATGAGTTCAGTTGTAATCAGTTAGCAGTTTCAGGATACTGTGACATAGAAAATAGTCAAAACTTTTCAAATTCTTCTTTGTTTCTGGTCAGACGATCTAGGTATGACCTTTTACCATGGCAGCCTCTGTCTGAAGGTGGGAGTCTTCAATGATCCAAACGTTTCGAGACTTCTGAGCTAAATTTGCCTAGTTATCGATTTAGGGTACACAACAGAAGGGGTACCCTAGGCCTATAGGTGAACTTCTATAGGTAGTTCTTAGGCTGTGATTTCAGAAAATGAAGGCAGATTTCTAGACAGATCTCCGAGAGTGGTCCAGAGTAGAGCTGGGTGCGGGGTGGGGGGTACACTGGTGAAAGTTATGTAAACCTTTTGCTTAGTGAAATCCTTTCAGATCTCTGCTGGGTGGAATCTCCTCCCTGCTTTTTCTTGCATTGTTTTAGGAAAGAAAAATGCCACATCGAGTCATTGGTAATACATTATTCATCCTCCCTTAGTGCCTACTTGGAAAAGGTCTAGTGACTTTGGATTTAGCCACACTTTAGTTATAATCTCTCTTTTTTAAAAAAAATGTGTTTTTATTGAGGAAGGGAGAGAGAGAAACATTGATAAGAGAAACATCCTTCAGCTGCCTCCTGCACGCCCCCTACTGGGGATCGAGCCCACAACCCAGGCATGTTCCCTGACTGGGAATTGAACCCAGACCTCTCAGTCCATGGGACCATGTTTAGTCCACTGAGCCACACTGGCGGGGCTATAATCAGTTTTTCTGATAGGAGGAAAAGTTGTTACTTGGTAACTGTCAAGAAGTGCAGGCCCTAGTCTTTCCTGTAACAGCAATGTACATCGTTCTCCCAGAATCTGGAGTGAGGGATAGAGGAAAACTTGAGGACAGGTGGTCTCTTATTTAATCTTAATATTTCAAGTGTTTCACTTAAAGAAGGTTTCCAGCAAATGTGTCGTTTCAGTTTTTCCAGGATGAATCTAATGATGTTTACCATCTCTGGTTCTAAAGGCAGATATTTTATTTCCTTTCTTTCTAGGTTTTCCTGAGTATGAAAACTTTGTATCTACCAAAAGTGATGGTGTTATAACAGACAAAAGTCCTCTCTTTGGACTTGACTGTGAAGTGGTAAGCACTGCAAACTAGGGTCTAGCAGATGATGTCTTGAGTCTAATGATGAGCCCGTGTATTCAGTTCCAGTATTCATTTTTTTTTTCCACATCTTTATTGTTGGATGTAAAATGTATTACAGATGTTCCACATTTTTCCCCCATTGACCCCCTCCTCCCCACTCCCGCCCCCCTCCCACCTTTTCCCAAACTATTGTCCTTGTCCATTGGTTATGCATATAAGTTCTTTGGTTTATTTCTTCCCACCCCCCCAACCCCTTTCCCTTTGAGGTTTGTCAGTCTAGCAATGAATTTGTGCTTCTTAATCCCGTCACCTTTTTCATCCATTTCCCCAACCCCCCTCCCATCTGGCAACCAACAAAATGTTCTCTGTATCTATGAGAATGTTCCTGTTCTTCCTGTTCATTTTGTTTGTAGATTCCATTGTCGATAGATATGTATTCATTGTCACTTTGTTTGTTCATACATTTTATCTTTTTCTTCAAAAAGACCCTTCATCATTTCATATAATAACGGTTTGGTGGTGATGAACTCCTTTAACGTTTTCTTGTCTGGGAAAGTTTTTATATGTCTATCAATTCTAAATGACAGCTTTGCAGGATAGAGTAATTTTGGTTGTAGGTTCTTGGTTTTCATCACTCTGAATATTTCTTGCCACTCCCTTCTGGCCTGCAAAGTTTCTTTTGAGAAATCAGCTGACAGCCTAATGGGAACTCCCTTGTAGGTAACTAGCTGCCTTTCTCTTGCTGCTTTTAAGATTCTCTCTTTGTCTTGAACCTTTTGCAGTTTGATGATGATGTGTCTTGGTGTGTGCCTCTTGGGGTTCATCTTGTTTGGGACTCTCTGTGCTTCCTGGACTTGTATGTCTGTTTCCTTCACCAAGTTAGGAAAGTTTTCTGCCATTATTGTTTCAAACAGGTTTTCAATTTTTTGTTCTCGCTCTTCTCCTTCCGGCACCCCCAAGATGCGAATGTTGGCACACTTGAAGTTGTCCCAGAGGCTCCTTACACTATCCTCATTTTTTTGGATTCTTTTTTCTTTTTGCTGTTCTGATTGGGCGTTTTTTGCTTCCTTATATTCCAAATCGATGGTTTGCTCCTTGGATTTACGTACTCTATTATTGAAGCTGTGTAAATTATTCTTTATTTCAGTTAAAGCCTCCTTCGTTTCTAACTGTGCAGCGATCATTTCTGACTGGTCCTTTTTTATGCTCTTGAGGCCCTCACTGAGTTCATTGAGCATCCTTATAAGCAGTATTTTGAACTCAGCATCTGTCAGGTTGCTTATCTCCATTTCGCTTAGTTCTTTTCTTGGGGTTTTGACTTCCGGTCTTGGATCCTGCTTCAGGTTTTTCCCTTCCCTGTGGCGTAGGGAAATGCAGTATCGCGTTCTCCCACAACCACATCCAAGTTACAACAAAACTACAGAACAACCATCATCCAAAATCGCCTGAAATCAAGCTGAATGGAAGTCCTACAACTACGGAATTAAAAAAAAAACAAAACAGCTACATCCAGACTGGTAGGAGGGGTGGCAGCGGAGGGGTGGCGGTGGCGACGGGCTGGTCCCACACCCACGTGTGGCGGATAAAAATCAGGAGGCTCCCGCGGCTGGGAAGGTCCTTCCTGAGGACTGAGGGGTCCCCATCCCACACCAGGCGCCCCGCTCAGGGTTCCAGTGCCAGGAAGAGAATCCCCATAACTTCTGGCTGGAAAAACCAGCGGAAACTGAGGCTCAGGGAGGCTGAAGCGACTGGAGCCCCAGGCAGCTCCTTAAAGGGCCCGCGCACGGACTTATCGGACTCTCCCTCTAAGCTTGGAGGGGAGGCAGCTCGAGGGGCGCCAGAGACACACAGGGAAGAACTGAGCTGTTTGGCACTGGAGCGAGGGCTGGAGAGGGGGCTTCCTTGGGGACAAACGTGCTGTCAGAGGCCTTTGTTCCTTTGGTGAGCCCTTCCCGGGGGCGGCAGACAGAAGCCATATCTGGACTCCAGCAACCTGGCTCACACTGGTAGCCCCGCCCTGCTGACTCCCTGAGGCCCCACCCCACCCCACCCAACTTTCAAGCCCACCCAAGCTGTTGCCACTGGCTTAACCATAGGATTGGCCAGTCTTGGATCCTGCTTCAGGTTTTTCCTAAATTCTTTCAAACGAGCAGCATCAGGTCTCAGCGAGCCCCATACCTCTCATTAAGTAATACACAAAAACAAACACAGGGAGGCAGCCAAAATGAGGACACAAAGAAACAGGTCCCAAATGAAAGACCAGTATTCATTTTAAAGAACTGAAAGCAGACCCTCTCGCTCACATTTTAGAAGACAGATCTGTGCTCCAGGATGAAGACCATGCATCACATACCTTTTCTCTGGTCGCTGTGTTTCACGCAGCCTTTGTATGTTAACTCCTGTTGTTTGCACAAGTGTTTTGTTGTTGCCGGGAAGACTGGACCTCAGCTACCATCAGCTAGGCTTAGTGTTGTACATTTGAGATCAGAAGGAGGATTTTCCTGCTTCAGCGCCCTTGTGTTTTATTTTGATTAGTAAGTGCTCAGGTGATGGTTTCTCACCTCTTAATAGAGGGGCTAAGAGCTAAAGTTTTGGAGTCTGTCAGGTTACGATGTGTATCCTGGCTCTGCCCGTTAGCGGCTATGTCCTCTTGGACAAGTTTTCTAACCTCCCTCAGCCTCAGCTTTTCCCTCTGGAGTGGGGGGACAGTAGAGACTGCCTCAGGGGTTATTATGAGGCAGTGTATGTAAAATGGCTTAGTACTACATTAGATGATAATCAAGTGTGCTAACGAGAATAACTTATTAGTGGTACTTAGTGAAATACTAGGATGTGGTATACATTCAATAAATGATGCAGTTATGATTCATGGTATTATTTCCATCCATCTTTGTTAAGCACATTCTTCCCAGAAGAATTGTACTATGTTGGTTACCTTAAGTGTAACGCTCAGCAGCCTGCCTGGCTTTGGTTCCGTTCACGGGGATCCTCAGGTCAGCAGAGGCTGTGGCGTTGTCACAAGGACTCCGTGGATGGGCGGGCCGGCAGTGGGCACAGCGTGAGTGGCAGGCTGTCATGGGTGCAGAGTGCAGGGCCTGACTGGGTCCTGGTCTTTCAGTGCCTCACAATGAGGGGCAGGGAGCTAACACACATCTCACTGGTTGCTGAAGAAGGTGGCTGTGTTATGGATGAACTTGTTAAACCTGATGGGAAGATTTTGGACTACCTCACCAGGTATTTTTCACCTTGCCTTTAGCCTTCCCTAGGGCTGTCCGACTGATGTGCAATGAGACTTCGCAGGAAGAGCCTGTAGCTTCTGTGTAGTCAGGTGTGACCTACTTCTCCATCCGCAGAGGGAAAGCTGGGCACCACGGCTGCACGTCAGTGCTGAGACGGCACAACGCCGCATCTGATGGGTCGCCCTCCTTGCTCTCATCTTCCTGTGATGCACGTCAACGGAATTGCACCTTCCTTGTCATAGACTCTCCCAGTTGTGATCATCATCTACCAACTACCAGACAGCTGAAACTTTAAGACCTCACTTGAGAAATCTGTAAATCATCATTGAGCAGTCAAATGATCTCAGGTTAATCTGCCCTGACCTCAAAAACCAAAACAAAATTAAGTTTTTCATAACAAATTTGAAACTCAAAAAATTTTCTTTCCAAAAATTAGCATGTAATTTCACATGTATACACTATAATGATTAGGCAGAGAAAGCCAGTGAAACATTACGGTTTCTGCCCACTGAGGTTGCAGCTAACAGAGTCATGCTTGCTTAGGCAACAAGGGGCCATCGTGATGACGATGACTGTTTTAGGCTCTGGCTGCTTAGTTCGGTTGAAGTGTCAGCCCAGTGTGCTAGGGTTTCAGGTTTGATCTCTGGTCAGGGCACATGCCAAAAATCATCAACCAATGAATGCATAAATGAGTGGAACAGCAAATCCATCTCTCTCTCCTTTCCTCCCTCCCTCCTTCCTTCTCTCCCTCTCTCTTTCTCCCTGCCTCTCTCTCTAAAAATTAATAAATAAAATTAAAAAAAATAAATAAAAGACTGTCCTATTAGCAGATGTGGTAATTAGTATTCTTAGGGGATAGTCAGTCGTATATGTAAGCATGTTGGTCACAGAATTGCAGAGCTGGGAACATAAATATCTGAAAAGTAGGGGATTACTTAAAATATGTTAATGTCCATATAATGGAGCATTCTGTTAACCTTTTAAAAGGATGTACTGAAGCCCTGGCCGGTTTGGCTCAGCAGTTGGAGCGTTGGCCTGCGGACCAGAGTATAAAAAAAAAAAAAAAAAAAAAAAGGATGTACTGAAATAGATTTATTAATGTGAAAACTTGTTCATGATATATGGAAAATGATAAAACCATGTTATAAAGTAACATGTGCATTACTAATCTTTTTTTTTTTCTTGTTTGTGCCCTGACCAGGGATTGAACCCAAAACCTTAGTGTATTGGGAGGATGCTCTGGCCATAAATAAATAAAAATTTCTTTATTTATCTTAATCTATTGATTTGAGAGAGGGAGAGCGAGAAAGAAACAGAAACATCGATTTGTTGTTCCACTTATTTATGTATTCATTGATTGATTCTCATATGTGCCCTGATCGGGAATTGAATCTGTAACCCTGGAATATTGGGGACGACACTCCAACTAACTGAGCTGTCTGGACAGGGCCATAAAGTAGCATATGCATTATAATTGTATTTTTATAAGAAGGAAATATATAAATGAATATAATACAAAAAATAGGAAAGGGTAGAAAGTAATGATCTCCAGGTGGTGAGATGAGGGGTAATTTTTTTTTTATCCTCACTCGACATTTTTCCATTTTTTTGTTCAGATAGAATGGGAGGGAAAGAGAGGAAGAGAGAGAGAAACATCGATGTGAAAGGGACACATTGAGTCGCTGCCACCCCCATGACCCAACCAGGGCCGGGGACAAACTGCAACGGAGGTACATGGCCTTCGTGGGAACCAAACCTGGGTCTCTCGGGACCGCAGGCCGACACTAACTGCTGAGCCAATCCGGCCAGGGCTAGGGGTAATTTTAAATTTCCTTTCTGCTTATTTGTATTTTTAACCTTTCTGCACTGCGCATATATTAATTTTGAAAAGGTATTCTTTTCAAATGACTTTCCAGGGAGAAAAACTTGTTAATATTCTGGCCTGTTCATTTCACTCATTTTTACAGAAAGCTGCTCAGAAATCATGAAGAAGATTCTGAACCCGGTAACGACCAAAGTCAAGGATGTCCAAAGACAATTAAAAGCACTACTTCCTCCTACTGCTGTGTTAGTGGGCTACTCCTCAGACTTGGATCTCAAAGCACTAAAGGTGAGTATCTGATATACGACTTCACTTTTCTAGTATATATGCCTGTTCATTTATCTCAAATAGAAAGCCTGGGGCTCTTCTTTCTTCAGCCCACTTGTTTTTGCCATTAGTATAGGATGCGCTACTCATTCTGTTCTCTTTCCTCCTCAGATGATACATCCATATGTTATTGATACATCATTGCTTTATGTCAGAGAGCAGGGCAGAAGATTTAAGCTAAAATTCTTAGCCAAAGCGATTTGGGGGTAGGTTTGTTTGCATATTATAATATTATCTGACAAAATTGCACATAAGTTAGCATGTACTGTCTTATTTAACTCATATTGAAAAATTTGGGGTCTCTGTTCTTCCTCTTAGTTTGTAAACATTATTTCTTTTATTTTTATGAATCCTGGGATCCTAACTCTAGAGAGAAGTATGACACAGAAATGAAGAAATTGTGGAAATACAAGAAGGTTTACATGCACAGTTGAGGGTTGATGGATAGATCTGGACAGGAAGGGGCATCAAAGTTAACCAAAATTTCAAAACATGACATTTCTATATTGAATATATTTTATTACATATAAGCATGTTCGTTATACTGTAATGTGGTTTAAAATAGCCCAAAACAATGCAACTATCCTATAGGACTGGTTGAACAAATTATGGTTATTTGTATTACTGAATACTTTGTTGTTGTTGTTCAAAAGAATGTGAAGGATCTCTCTCAGATACTACTGAGAATAAAATGGAGATCAGAGCGAGATCTATAGATCCCTAGACAGTGATGTGATGTAGGTTAGATTTACATATATCTGTCGACATAAACATACATATTTCTTAAAGGTTTTTAAAAATAACCAAGAAAAGATTTAAGTGCATATAAGACACTTGTATAGAAATAAAAATGTTCTGGAAGGTAACTTTAAACAGTGGTCACCTCTAAGAAACCAGACATGGGGAGTGCATAGAGACTTGATTGGGCAGCTCTGCCCTTCAGAAAACGTGCTGGCTGTGGACAGAGTCATTCCCAACCACTCCACATCCTCGGCACCTCTCAGTCCTGGCAGTAGGAACGAAGAAATCCTAATTGTGATACAAAGCTGATTATCAAAATGCTGAAATTTTACATGTAACCAGAATATTTTAGGTGGTTGAAAGACCTGTCATTAAAAAAAACTCCCAGATATGTCAATTTTGTGTTGATTTTCCAGGAAGGATGTACAGGGTCCTGGTAGGCTTGGTCATGATACCACAGAAGATGCTAAAACAGCCCTTGAATTGGCTCAGTATTTTTTTAAGTATGACCCAAAGAAGGTTAGTATCCTTGACCTGTGTCTTTGCTTTTCTTAAAATTATAGGATCAGAACTGTTAGTCACAGACTGCCATCTCCTGTTTTTACCTTTACAAAAAAATGGGAGTACAGTTCAGGCTGAGCATGTATATGGAAGGAAGACCTGTCTCACTAGCATGATGCAGTCATGAAGTATGTAGTCTCTGAAAGTCTGTTTTAAATATAGACTCTACCGTGTCCACCTATGTGATCTAGGTCAGTTTCTCTGAACAACTTCGGTTTCTAGATCTGTACAATGGGAATACACTTCTCTGGGGCATTGGTGATGGTAAATGAGATACTATGTATAAAGATCTAAGTTCTTATCACAGTGCCTTGAATATTATATTAAGTACCATAATGTGATGTTGGTCATTGTAGCTGATGCTAATAATTGTAATAAATATAAAAATCTACATAGATCTTTGCTCTCTTGGGGTGGGTGTGGGGACCATACTGTTGTTTTCAACAACAGTGCAGTTCGTACGAATTAGAACAGCACGTAAGGGAGACATTTGAAGAGGACATAGTTTATAATCTTGTTATAACACATTCTAACCTATTAGAGTGTCCTCTTGCATGAGAGGTTCTATCATGATTCCGTTATAAAATACATTGTAGTCATGTAGAATAATAGCCAGAAGAGTGTTTTGGGTCATGGTGGTAGAAAGACATTCTAAAATACCTTTTGGGCATGTCACTAACAATAGCCACCATTCACCAAGATCTTAATAAGTGTACTGTTCTAAAATGGTTTATGTACATGATTTTATTCTTACAGCAACCCTATGAATTAACTGTGATTATCATCTCAGTTTTATATATGAGCGTTCTGAGATTTTGAAAGGTTAGAAGATTTAATCAAGGGGGTCAGAGGTGAAACCAGGATGTAAACCTAGGTGTGCCAGATTCCAAAGCCTCTCTTTGCTCGATGCTAAGGCAGACTTTCCTATAAAGGTCAGATAGTAAATATTTTTGGCTTCATAGGCCATACTGTCTATTGTAGCTAGTCAACTGATGGCAATGAGTGGGCACAGCTGTGTTCCAATAAAACTTTATTTACAAAAAAAAAGGCATTGGGCCGGACCTGACTCAATGACTGGAATATGCCAGCCCCCACTCTAAACCACATCAGAGATTCAAAACTTTTTGGTTTCAGGACCTATTTACTCTCAAAGGGCTTTTTTTTATGTAGACCATATCTCAATATTTACCATATTAGAAATTAAATATGAAGAAAAATAATCTTAGTATTTTATTAATTTGTTTAAAAATTATGTTAATGCAGCCTGGCCGGTGTGGCTCAGTGGTTGAGCGTCGACTCATGCACCAAGAGGTCACCAGTTTGATTCCCGGTCGGGATACATGCCCAGGTTGTGGGCCCGATCCCCAGTGGGGACATGCAGGAGGCAGCCAGTCAGTGTTCTCTCTCATCGATGTTTCTGTCTCTCTCTCCTTCTCCCTTCCTCTTGCTCTGAAATCAATAAACAAAAAAATTGTGTTAACACAAAAATGAATTTTTCTGAGAAAAAAGCATTTTCAAAAAAATTGGTGTGAAAAGTATGGTTTTACATATTTAGCAAACCTCTTTAATGTCTAGCTTAATAGGAGACAAGTAACTTTTTCGAGTTGTGTAGCTGGAGAAGGGAGGACCTCATGAACCCCTGACAGGTCTCTGGAACCCCAGGAGTTCTTGACCCACACTCGGAGACCCACACTTCGAAAACCACTGCGTTCTATTATGCTGCCACTTGAGGTCCAGTGAAAATTGCATCTCACTGGGGTAAAACCTAAGGAAATATAAATTACTCTGACTTTAGTTAATAATAACATATCAGCAGTGGTTCATTAATTATCACATGCACCATATTAATCTAAAATACCAATTTAATCATAGTTGAAAATAGGAAGCCAGTATATGGAAACTCTGTACTACCTTTGTTATTTTTCTATAAATGTAATATAATTTTAAATGAAAAGTTTGTATCTCACACTCTACATTACAACTTTCAAATGGTCTCCCACTGCATGGAAGCAGAATAAACTAGAATAGACTTTGTGATTGTTTTTGTTTTGTTCTTGGAATGAGTGTTGTTTTTTTGTTTGTTTTCTTTTTTTGGTATGTGCCCCTTAGCGGAAACCAAACCCGGGACTCTGGTCCGCAGGCTGAGCCAAACTGGCCAGGGCAACTTTGTGATTTTGTATTAAACCAGTGAAAAGTCTGTTTTTTATGTGGTAGAAGCGTTCTTTTACCATTTCCAAACACATGTTTGGAGAGGAGTACATTTTAAGTGACCATGGAATGAACAGTGAGCCCAGATCGCCATCCCTTTTCACTCAGCCCTGCCAGCAGAGCGGGTAGCAGAGGCCACTCTGAGCCGCGGAGACCGGCTGGAACTGCGGAAGCCGCCCTGCCTGGCCGGGCAGAGCCCTGTCTGCACGAGCGGGGAGCGCCACTGGCGTGGACTTTCATGGTGTCAGTTGGTTAGTTTGTTTGATCTCAGATGCTCTCCAGGAAATCAGATGATTTTGACCACTTCATTGTCATCAAAATTGCAGAACTTAATCTGGAGGCACTGGCCTGTCACCAGAGCCGCAGGCAGCAGGCCTGCGCGGAGCAGGGCAGCAGAGGCCGCTGGGCAGCCATGCCCAAGGTAGCAGCTCAGTTCTGACATGAGAAGAGACAGACGGAGCATCCGGTTTCTTATTTAACAACAAAACCTGGGAATTTGTCTTCTTTGAGGCTGTTGAGAAATGTCTACCAATTGTGTAACAGTCTTCCCTCACAAAAACCAGGCAGGGGAAGAGACCACCTTCTGCCCTAAAGAGTATCTATTTATTTTACTAATTTTCTGAATCTAGTGATTAGTCTTAAAATGACTCCCTTTGTAAAAAAAAAAAAAAAGCAAGACATTGAAATACGTTGAACTAAGTAGCTGTAGACGAGGGAATGGACTACTGGGTGCTTTGGTTAGAAGACAAAGGACTGTGGGAATTATGTGCAACCTTGCTGTGTTGCCTCGAGCAGGGGAGAACAGAAGTCAGGCTCAGCAGAGGTTTGTTGACACCATAATGCACATATCAGATCTTAGACTCTGGCCCGAGCCTTGATAGAGCACTTTGAGTACATTTCTTGTCATCCCCGTCCCTGGCCATCAGCGACTTGTCCAGTGTGACCTCTGCAGCAGTGGGAATGTGCTGCATCGGAGCCGTTCAGGAAGTTCTGCACATCAGCACAGGAGGTGGGACTAGTGCAAGCGAGAGCTGACTCTCTTCCATTTTAATTAATTTTAATTTAAATAGCTACGTGTTGCCAGAGGCTATTATATTAGACAGTGGGAGTCTAGAGAGGTAACTCTCAGGTTCTGGAAAACTGTTGTTCTTACTTCCACCTCCTCTTTACAGTGTTCTAGAATGCCCGGAGTCAGTGGGTCCGAAGCGCCTTTTCTTGACCCGGGAGGAAGATGCTGTGAACTAACTTCTTCCAGAAGCTGTCAAACTGTTACGTGCCTCTAAAATGAAGAGGTGAGTGGCTGATGTCTCTGAAGTTTGCTGCAAAGCAGAGGGGAGTGCAGCCCACTGCAGCTCAGGCCAGAGCCAGGCAGCACCGTGGCCACTGTCGGCGAGCCTGGCTTCTGTCTGCCTAGTGTGGCGCTCTTCTCATCCCAGCACCCAGTAGGGCAGCACCGGCAGTGTCCAGTGTCTGCTTTCAGAGCCTAGCAGTCCTGTGGCTTTGGCCTTGCACACCATTTTGAATTTTTGTTCTGTTTCTGGTTCATAGGGATGTTTATCTTGGTTTTCAGTCTGACTTTTCTGTTTTCTCGTGCATTTTATATGTCGTTGCTGTGTGTAAAGCAGGATGCGTAAGAGCATGAACTATGACTTCCGGTCAGGATGGCGGGGAGGTAAATGTGGTATCCGTCCTCCCACAACCACATCAAAGTTACAACTAAACTACAGAACAACCATCATTCAAAACCGCCTGAAATCAAGCTGAATGAAGTCCTACGACTACGGAATTAAAGCAGCAGCCACATGAGACTGTAGGAGGGGCGGAGGGGACAGGCTGGTCCCACACCCACGTGTGGCGGATAAAAATCAGGAGGACACCTCGGCTGGGAAGGTCCTTCCTGAGGACTGAGGGGTCCCCGTCCCACACCAGGCGCCCTGCTCAGGGTTCCAGTGCCAGGAAGAGAACCCCCATCACTTCTGGCTGGAAAACCAGCGGGAACTGAGGCTCAGGGAGGCTGAGGCGGCTGGAGCCCCAGGCAGCTCCTTAAAGGGCCCGCGCACGGACTTATCACACTCTCTCCCTCTAAGCTTGGAGGGGAGGCAGCTCGAGGGGCGCCAGAGACATACAGGGAAGAACTGAGCTGTTTGGCACTGGAGCGAGGGCTGGAGAGGGGGCTTTCTCCGGGACAAAAGTGCTGTCAGAGGCCTTTGTTCTTTGGTGAGCCCTTCCCGGGGGCGGCAGACAGTCACCATATCTGGGACTCCAGCAACCTGGCTCACACAGGTAGCCCTGCCCTGGTGACTCCCTGAGGCCCTGCCCCGCCCCACCCAACTTTCAGGCCCACCCAAGCTGTTGCCACTTGCTTAACCATAGGATTGGCCTGTCTTGGATCCTGCTTCAGGTTTTTCCTAAATTCTTTCAAACGAGCAGCATCTGATCTCAGATAGCCCCATACCGCTCATTAAGTAACACACAGAAACAAACACAGGGAGGCAGCCAAAATGAGGATACAAAGAAACAGGTCCCAAATGAAGGAACGGAACAAAACCCCAAGAAAAGAACTAAGCGAAATGGAGATAAGCAACCTAATGCTGAGTTCAAAATACTGCTTATAAGGATACTCAATGAATTCAGTGAGAACCTCAGTGAACTTAGTGAGGGCCTCAAGAGCATAAAAAAGGACCAGTCAGAAATTATGGATGCACAGTCAGAATTGAAGGAGGCATTAACTGAAATAAATAATGATTCACACAGATTCAATAGTAGAGTACGTAAATCTAAGAAGCAAACCATCGATTTGGAATATAAGGAAGCAAAAAACACCCAATCAGAACAGCAAAAAGAAAAAAGAATCCAAAAAAATGAGGATAGTGTAAGGAGCCTCTGGGACAACTTCAAGTGTGCCAACATTCGCATCTTGGAGGTGCCAGAAGGAGAAGAGCGAGAACAAGAAATCGAAAACCTGTTTGAAACAATAATGGCAGAAAACTTTCCTAACTTGGTGAAGGAAACAGACATATAAGTCCAGGAAGCACAGAGAGTCCCAAACAAGATGAACCCCAAGAGGCCCACACCAAGACACATCATCATCAAAATGCAAAAGGTTCAAGACAAAGAGAGAATCTTAAAAGCAGCAAGAGAAAGGCAGCTAGTTACCTACAAGGGAGTTCCCATTAGGCTGTCAGCTGATTTCTCAAAAGAAACTTTGCAGGCCAGAAGGGAGTGGCAAGAAATATTCAGAGTGATGAAAAGCAAGAACCTACAACCAAGATTACTTTGTCCTGCAAAGCTGTCATTTAGAATCGATGGCCATATAAAGACTTTCCCAGACAAGAAAAAGTTAAAGGAGTTCATCACCACCAAACCGTTATTATATGAAATGATGAAGGGTCTTTTTGAAGAAAAAGATAAAATATATGAATAAACAAAATGGCAATGAATACATATCTATCGACAATGGAATCTACAAACAAAATGAACAGGCAGAACAGAAACATTCTCATAGGTACAGAGAACATTTTGTTGGTTGCCAGATGGGAGGAGGGTTGGGGGAATGGGTGAAAAAGGTGAAGGGATTAAGAAGTACAAATTCATTGCTAGACTGACAAACCTCAAAGGGAAAGGGGTTGGGGGTGGGTGGGAAGAAATAAACCAAAGAACTTATATGCATAACCGATGGACACAGACAATAGTGTGGGAAAAGTTGGGAGGGGACCGGGAGTGGAGAGGAGGGGGTCAATGGGGGGAAAATGTGGAACATCTGTAATACATTCTACATTCCACAATAAAGATTAAAAATAAATAAATAAATAAATAAAATAAAAGAATAACATACATTGCAAAAAAAAAGCATGAACTTTTCTCTGGTTGAGCTGCACTAGATGGGGGGAGGGGCACAAATGGGCATGCAGAGCACCACAGATTCTCCTTTGTTTTTGTTAGTCCTTACCTGAGGATATTTTTTTCATTAATTTTTAGATAGTGTGGGAGGAGGGGGACAGAAAGAGAGGGAGAGAGACACATTGATGTAAGAGAGACACAAAAATTGGTTGCCTCTTGCACGACCCTGGCCAGGGCTGGGGTTGGAACCTGTAACTCTGGTCCGTGGGCCAATGCTCTAACCACTGAGCAAACCAGCCAGGGCAGTTTTTCTTCTTGGTTTGATGTTGGTCTGGGTGCTGTGAGTTCTGGCAAAGGTATTCTGGTCTGTGTGTTGTTGACTTGGTGTTTGGGAGAGCGAAGACCTGAAGCTTCCTTGTAGACCATCTTACTGATGTCACACTCTTGTTTCTTTTTTCAAAGTGTTATTTCTTGGGAGAATGGTGTGGCGCTGGGAAGGACTGGGAGCTTACAGTGCTCTAGGGAGTGGCTGGCATCCGTCTGACTGATCTTTCTGCAGTGCCCTTACTTTCCCCTTCTCTTCCCTTCACTGCAGCGTCTCCAAGGGCTGTCACCTCTTCTCTGCGGGTTCTTCAGAAGCACTGCTTCCCTGAGGCACCAGGCCTCCCCTGGGTCAGCGCTGGTGCTTTTTCTTTGTGGGTGACTTCGTCTATGCTTCTCCAAGTCTCCCTGCCCAGGATTGTCTCCAGAGTCCCTCGAGCCTTTTCTCCTTGCTCTCTTCACTCCCAGGCTTGCACCAGTGTGGGGTGTCGGGAGCGCTGTTGGAATTGAACCTCTTTCCTTAGAGGAAAGCTGAAGGTTGTCGTCATCTCTGTTTCTTAGTAATGCTAAAGGTATGGGTCATATGTGACTTTATTTATTCTCTTTACTGACTCTGGTTTTTCCAGGAGGCTGTGTGGCGTCACCATTTTCCCCCAGCTCTTGAAGTCAGCCCTATCTTGCTTCTTCGTAGGGATAGGGATCAGCATGATGCTGTGACGTGGCTCACCTCCAGGGCCACAGCAGTCTGCCAGGCTCCTGCCTCACCCCGGCTGTGCTGTCCGCTGCACGTTCTCCAGTGGGCCAGAGTGGAAATGCCCCCGTTTCCCTTCAGCACCGTCCGCTTCTCTTTTGAACCCTTTCCACCCACCCTTACTGAGGAGATGAATAAAAGGGTAAGTTGAATGAATCCTACTGGGTGATTTACTTAATGACTTATAATCTCCCCACATGAAGGAAAGTAATACTTTAGGAAGTTTGCTGTCTATCTCTCCAGATTTTTGTTATGTGTATTTTAACATTTTAGAAAATACACTTTTATAAAAATGTGACTTAGACCATGTCACACTGTTTTGCAGCTTTACTTCTCCATCTAACAGCATACCTGGCGCCTGTCCACGTCAGCACAGATCTTGCCTCCCTTGCTCTGGGGCTCTGCAGCGCCTGCTGCCTGGCAGACCTGCTCACTGTCGCCGTCTGTGCTCGTGAGTGTGTGCTCGTCCAAAGGGCTCTCGCCAGGTGGCCAGACATCTGCTTGCGTTGAGAAGTTCCTGCAAGTGGAATCATCCCATGTTTTGACTTACGGCTTCTTCAGATGTGACTGAATTCTCATTCCACATCTACTTCATTGTATTCTGTTGTTTCTTGCAGATGAGGGTCAAGTGGACAGAGATATCATCTGTCTATGCTGGGCCATTTAGCAAAAATTGTAACCTCAGAGCTCTGAAGAGGCTGTTTAAGAGCTTTGGCCCAGTCCGGTCAATGACTCTCGTGCTTGAAACTCGTCAGGTAGTGATACCAGAAAACTCAGAGTCTGACCTTCTAGATTAGTGCTGGGAACGCAGATGCCGGCCAGGGCCATGCAGATGACAGGTAGCAGTGCCGTGAGCTTGACTGTCACCAGCTGCAGTGTGGGTCCTCCGCCCATCCGATGGCAGCGGTTCAGCTGGTGACCCACAAGCATATGTATCCAGTATTGACAGATCTTCTGATTTTTTTTTTATTATTATTATTTTTTTTTATCCTCACCCGAGGACATTTTTCCATTTTTTGTACAGATAGAGTGGGAGGGAGAGAGAGGAAGAGACAGAGAGAGAGAAACATCGACGTGAAGGGACACATCGAGTGGCTGCCACCGCACGACCAACCAGGGCCGGGGACAAACTGCAACCGAAGTACATGCCCTTAGCGGGAACCGAACCCGGGTCTCTCTGGACCGCAGGCCGATGCTCTAACCGCTGAGCCAAACCGGCCAGGGCCAGATCTTCTGATTTTTTATTTTGTTTTGAGAATCAAGAAATCTGCCAATTTTCATAGGTTGGCTCCAGTTTTCTTAGATACTATGTGAGCCAGACAAAAAATACGGCTCGCTGAGTGTAGCCGACGGACTTCCTGCTCGTGACCTCAGCTTTAAGGGATAGCCCTTTCAGAAGAGCAGTACCTTCCAGGTCTTGGGGAATCTCTGGGCTAACGACTGTCGGCTCACAGCTGCGGTAAAAATGTGTGGCAGGGCTTTTGCTGTTGCTGCTGCTATTGGGTCTCTAGTCTCTGGGAGTAAATTTTGGTCACCTGTCTGTTCTTTACCCCAAACCCTAGAAAGAATTTAATCACTTTTACTTTTTAAAAATTATACCTGTATGGTTTTAAAAATTCATACTATTTAGCCCTGGATGGCTTGGCTTGGCTCAGCAATTAGAGTGCTGGCCCGTGGATCAAAGAGTCCTGGGTTCGATTCCAGCCAAGGGCATGAACTCTGTGGTTCGTCCCCGGCCCTGGGTAGGGTCGTGTGGGTGGCAACCAGTCGATAAGTCTCTCACTCGCTCTCTTCCTCTCTCCCCTCCACTCTATCTGAAGATAAATGGAAAAATATCCTTGGGTGAGGGTTAAAAAAAAAATTCATACTAATTAAAAGGACTTCATGAAGAAACCTCTATCTTATGGTCATAGCAGGGAGTCAGTAAAGACTGAAGAATGGGAAGGGTATGTCCAAGGACTAACTTCTTCCTATAACTTTTTTTTTTGTAAAATGTACATAAGTTTGCTTTTTTAACCATCTTTAAGTGTTCAGTTCAATGTTACCAAATACATTTCTCCAGAACTTATTCATCATCCCACACTAAAACTCTATAGCCATTAAATAACTCCCCAGTCCTCTCTCCCCCAGGCCTGGCAACCACTGTTCTGTCCTGTCTTTATGAACTTGACTACTCCGTGGACACCACGAAAGTGGAATCGTGCCGTATTTGTCCTTTGGGTCTGGCTTATTTAACTTAGCACATATGTTTTCAAGATTCATCCATGTTAAAGTATGTGTCGGAATTTCATTCCTTTTCAATCCTGAATATTATTCCATTATATGAACTCGACACATTTTATTTGTTCTTTTCATCCATCAATACATTGTTTCTACCTTTTGGCTATTCTGAATCATGCTGCTGTGAACATGGGTGGGTAGACGCCTCTGAAACCCTGATTTCAGTCACTGTCTAGCTCAGCATAGCAAGGACATCCGCTCTGGTGGCTTTGGCCACTGTCGCTCAGCTCCCTCTCCCAGCCCTTCTCTGGCCGTTCGAGCCCGGAGAGCGGTGATAAGGAAATCTTGCTTCTTCTGCAGCCACATTCCTGTGTCCGTACGAAGTCCTGGAGCCCGCCCAGCTGGCCATCGAGTCCTCGGAGGGCATTCCGGTAGATGACACCTGCATCAAGGTAGGGTGGCCAGAGAAGGCCAAAGGCAGCGCCCTTCCCTCAGCCTGGCCAGGCACAGCCTGTGTTCATAGTTGCCTCAGACAGGACGGCGTTTATTCTGGTCAGAGCCAACCGGGCAACATAGGGCCGTCCTTGTATTCGCTGTGGCTGCTCGATGCCCAGCTTTTTGTTCAGGGTTCTTTTTTCTGGTTGCCTTTTCCTTTAGCTTTCAGGGGGTCAAATCGTGGTATTTTTACATTTCTTATGCGAGTAAACAGAAGGCAGTGAGCTGATCTCTATTGCCTGGTGGTGAGGGGAGGGAGCGGGGAGTGTATTTACACAGAATGTTTACATTTCTGTGTGACCTAGTAAGTCTGTACCACAGTCCTGTTAGGCATTTGTCAGTAGCCTCCTTATACAGATGAGGAAACTGCAGAATTAAGTTACTTGCTAGTATATGTAGCAAGCCTGGGGGTTGAGGTGGTAACTTCCCACCACTAATGCTGTTTTTCTTTGGTTGGGTGCAGAGGCCTGTGACAGAGCTCGCCCTTGAGTGTGACACCCTTGTCCCCTATACCTGTCTGGAGTGAGCAAAAGCTTCAAAGAACACCTGTTGCAGTAGTCCAACCTCTTTTTTGGCTTGGAAGCTCTTATCTTGCCTAAAGATCCTAAAAGTGGAAAGCAGAAAAAACACTGTTTCCTGAGTAAGTGTATGCTGCTGAATGGAGCCGTGGGGAATGCTGGGGATGGCAGCAACATCAGAAGGAAAGTGTTCCCCAGTAAGCCCTCCTGGGCTGGACAAGGTCACAGCTCCTGGTTCTGTCCTTTTCCCTTGACCCTGGTTGGGTTCCAGCTGGGTGGCCAGGTTGGATTTTGGCAAACAGCATAACAGAAAGGTGTTCTTGCTTTCAGAATTCAAACCTTCGGCAGCGCCCAGAGGGCCCTCAGCGTTCTCACAGGCAGGGCCGGAAGCAGAGAGGCAGGCACGCCTGCCCCAGGCACCTCCACACCTGGCTCGGGAGCTTACCTCGGAACCAGGAGGGCCCCGGACTTTGCGGCGGACCTCCCCCTTGGAGCAGCAGGTCCTGCTGGTGAGTGGAGGAGGGCGTGCCGAGTCCTGGAAGGGGAGCTGGTTTGCTTGGCCTTCTGACGTTCATGACCTTAGAGGAGCCCTGCCCCATGATGCTCGGCCTCCCTTTTCCGCCTTGGCGCTGGTCTTAGTTCACTCCCCATCGTTTCTCCGTGACCCCATCCTCTGCCCTCTGCATACATGCTGAAATTGGGTGTTTGTCCTCCAGGTGGCCGTTCACAGCACTTCCAGGGACTGATGTAAGCGGTTGGAGAGCTGGCCAAGTCTTTAGTGATCTGGGGTTTCCCAAAGTAGGGTACATACACATGATTTTTCGTGGTCATAGATGGACTTTTTTTTACATTTATAGTTATGAACTTGTCCATCAACACCCATGAAAATGTACAGCTACACGGAACCTGTGCTGTCACGAACAGCATTGTTTAGACGGTGGTCATGAGGAAAGTGACTGTCGAGAAAGCCCTCCGAGGGCTGCACAAGCAGAAGGTGGAGGCGGAACGCGGACAGCTGCGTCGGGAGCCCCTGTCCAAGTCCAGTCTCCCACACGTAGGAGATGAGAACTGGAGGCCGGAGCTGCTGAGTCACCGCCCGGGTCACACAGCCACGGCAGGCCCGGCAGGACAGGGCTGTCACGAAGGCTGCAGCTCCCCGAGCTCGCCCAGGAAGACCCGTCTGGAAGGAAAAGCAGCAGCCGTCCTCTCTGAAGCTCACTGGGGACTGAAGCCTGGGGACGGTGGGCAGACAGGGAGCCCAGCAGTGTGGGTTCCGACTTAGGAGTGAGCATTGCATACAGCCTGTCTGGGGCCCCACAGCCTAGGAGCCCGACAGAACGTTGCAGCCTCTGCAAAGGTGAGCAGAGGGCCCTATGGCTGAGCGTCCACACGGCTCCGATTCTAGACTCTGAAGGTGGACCACCCAAAGACAGCAGCCTGGCGCTGGGGCGAAAAATAGGAGAGCTCGACAGCAGCCCGAACACGGGTGCCCGTGCCTCGTCCTGTGCCAGGAGCCGAGAGGGGGGACTGAGGCTGTCCCTCTGCCTCCAGCCTGGGGCTCTGCTGTCTGAACACGGGTGCCCGTGCCTCGTCCTGTGCCAGGAGCCGAGAGGGGGGACTGAGGCTGTCCCTCTGCCTCCAGCCTGGGGCTCTGCTGTCTGAACACGGGTGCCCGTGCCTCGTCCTGTGCCAGGAGCCGAGAGGGGGGACTGAGGCTGTCCCTCTGCCTCCAGCCTGGGGCTTTGCTGTCTGAACACGGGTGCCCGTGCCTCGTCCTGTGCCAGGAGCCGAGAGGGGGGACTGAGGCTGTCCCTCTGCCTCCAGCCTGGGGCTCTGCTGTCTGAACACGGGTGCCCGTGCCTCGTCCTGTGCCAGGAGCCGAGAGGGGGGACTGAGGCTGTCCCTCTGCCTCCAGCCTGGGGCTTTGGCTGTTCTGAGAAGGGCTTTTTGTTGATGACCAGGCATATAAATGAGGACTTACACGACTCATCTCTTAATTCTCACAGTTCTAAGAGGTAGGTACCGTCCTCATACTTTATATGTAAACACTCTTCTGTAACCTTACTGGTCCCTCAAGGAGAGGACTTATCCCAGTTTAAAAGCAGAAGTCGTAGGCCTTACAGCGTCTCTGGGAACACAGGCAGCTGCCTAACTCCACTTGAGTAAAACTGGTCAACAAGTCCTAGGGCAGTGCCCAGGCTGGAATGTGACAGGGCCCTTTCCCACATGAACTAGTGTGTCCTTGCCTTCCCCGACTCGCCCCTTGGCCACCTCTGTTACTTTGGCAGGGCTTGTTTGGTGACCTTAAACTTGAGGAAAGCTGGAGCAGGCCTCAGGGTCCTGTCTAAGTTCTGTCACCTGTCGCTTCTCACACGGCTGGGTTACATTCCCACTGTGGGCTTCAGTTTCCCTTTGGTGAAATGAAGGGTGTGGAGTAAAGCAGTGATTTGCAAACGCTCTTAACTATAAAACTCTTTTGCTACGAAAATGTGTCAAATCCTAAAGCTTAAAGACAGGCTGTGGGAGACAGTGCGGGAACAGATGGTGGAGGAGTCTGTACTGGGTGGTAGGAGGGAGTGGATGGTGGAGGAGTCTGTATTGGGAGGGAGGAGGGAGCGGATGGTGGAGGAGTCTGTATTGGGAGGGAGGAGGGAGTGGATGGTGGAGGAGTCTGTATTGGCGGGAGGAGGGAGTGGATGGTGGAGGAGTCTGTATTGGCGGGAGGAGGGAGTGGATGGTGGAGGAGTCTGTATTGGGCGGGAGGAGGGAGTGGATGGTGGAGGAGTCTGTATTGGCGGGAGGAGGGAGTGGATGGTGGAGGAGTCTGTATTGGTGGGAGGAGGGAGTGGATGGTGGAGGAGTCTGTATTGGGCAGGAGGAGGGAGTGGATGGTGGAGGAGTCTGTACTGGGTGGGAGGAGGGAGTGGATGGTGGAGGAGTCTGTACTGGGCGGGAGGAGGGAGTGGATTGTAGAGGAGTCTGTATTGCGAGGGGAGTCCTTGGCTCTGTTGAGCGTAGTTGGAAAACCACTGGATCTTATTTCTAACAAGTCCCTTAAATGCTGGCATTCTAGGAGTCTTAGGTCCAAGGTGCCTCAGGCCTTGAGCCTGGATCAGAAATTAATGCCTGTTAGAAAATCCTCGTCCACCTGCATCAGGATCGCTGGCCAGATAGTTTGATAGGTGACCTCCTGGGTGGCTTTGGAGTACTGCCGTCTGGGAAACAGAGCAGCTACTAGGTGTTTGGACTGTTTGGACGGACACAGTGGAACCTTGGTTTTCTACCTTAATCGTTCCGGAAGGCTGTTTGAAAACCAAAGCATTTTTTTCCCATTAGAAATAAAGTAAATTGAATTCATTGGTTCCAGCGCCCCGAGTGATTCCATTTTAACCTTTCTTATATACAGTAATTGTGTAATGTACTGTCTATAAGTAAACACTTTAAAGACAAAATGGACATGGAACGTAAATTAAAACTTAGCAAGAAAGAAAGAAAATGCACAGTAATAAGTGAAGTGAAATCTGATGATGAGCAAAGATGAAAGCAAAAAGCATGCAAGTAATCGCAGCGCAATCTCCCGAGGAGTTAAGGGGTAAGCGACACACTCGCTCTCCCTTTGTCACCTGAGATGCATGACTGTCACACGGGTGTCAGCACGAAAGGGCTGTGGGGCTGAGAAGCAAATTGTTCGAGATGGGAGACATTTGAAAACCGAGTTTTGACTGTACTTTAAACGAGTGTGGGAGACCTTACAGCAAGTTAAAAAGTGACCAAAGGTTGCCAGCAAAGCTTTCGGTGAAGAACATGGACTGGATAGCAGACAGACTTACCCGGCCAGCCCCTCAGTCCTGTATGTGGACTAGGGGTAGAATGGGGACTGGTCTTCATGTTACCAGTGGTGCGGGTGAACAGCTGAGAGCGAGCCAAAGCTTTCTCCTTGCAGAAGGGGCCAAGGTGTTTCCCGTGCGTGGGGCTGAAGGAGCAAGCACGGGGGTCAGGGAGCAGCAAGGCTCAGGCTCTGACTGAACCATGGGCCCTAAGACACATTTGTAAGTCAGGGGAAAACCCTGGAAATAGCAAGCGCTGCAGGAAGGAAACCGGACGCTGCTCCTTTCCTTAAGTCACCCCTGGTTTCTGCACCCAGCTGATGAGGCCCCGCGCAGGAGCATGCATCGCGGAGGGGCCGCCCTGGGCCCCGTCTGCAGCTGCCTGCGTGCGGCCCACAGAGCCCTGGGAACGCGTACAAACCGTAAGAATGGCTCCGAGAGGACAGCAGTGAGGGTGGGAGGTTTCCTTACACTGGGAGCCTGACTCAGCTCTCAATCCCTACATCTCTGGTAGCTGCTAAAGTTAATACTGAAAATACTAGTAATTTGTATAATTCATCAAACCCTTAATGAGTGTCAGGTACCGTGCTGAATGCTTTGGTACACATGTTTGGTTGAGGTGGTTGAATCTCCCCAATTGAACAAGTCGGGGAAAAGGCTCAGATTAAGTAACTTGCCCGAGGTCACACTGGTGGCAGGTGCACAATTAGGGGTGAGCCCTGCTGATCTGACCCCAGAGCCACTCCAGCACTCAGAGCCCAAAAGGCTTCATGATGCTTCACTTCAGGGGGGGCACCAGCTGGTGATAGCCTCTGGGTTGGAGCTTGCTCATCCCTGCCTGCTTCGCCTGGAGAGCTCTCCCCTCCAACCCGGTTCGAGCGTGCTGGCCCGGAACGAGCGTGGACTGGTGACTCCCAGGTGTTCACTGACCAGATATTTTACAACACACATTCCTGAATGAGTTAATGTTTTGTAGAGTTTGTCAAACAGTGCCTGGACTGTGGTAGGTACAACAGGTGTTTTCTTTATATTTTGATAATGTTTTTTATTGATTTTTTAGAGAGAGAGAGGAGGGGAGAGATAGAAACATTAACGTGAGAAAAACATTGATTGGCTGCTTCCTGCATGCCCCCTGCTGGGGACTAAGCCCACAGCCCAGGCACATGCCTGACTGGGAATCGAACCGGGACCTCTGCGTGGACAACACTCAATCCACTGAGCCCCACCCGCCGAGCAGTTCTACAGTAAAAGGAACAAAAGAATAAACACAGAATTTGAAAGGACTGGGCGACATGTTGCCATCACTGCCTGTCACTTAACCTGTTACATCGCTGGAGCAGGTTATAGCTGTGACAGTTGTAGCTGTGTCCGTCAGTGCCTGCATCAGGCGTGTGAGCTGCTGTAGATGAGAACACAGAACGTGTTTAGAGCCCTACCGGGGTGGCTCCGTTGGTGGAGCGTCATCCCTCACACCAAAGTGTTGCAGGTTTGACTCTTGGGTCAGGACACATACCTAGGTTTCGGGTTTAGTCCCTGGTTGGGGCACATATGGGAGGCATCCGATCAATCTCTCTCCCTTCCCCCCCTCCCTCAGATCAATTGGGGGAAAAAAGTGCTTAGAGTGATGCTGGGACGGGAGAAGTGCTCCCTCCATGTCAGTTGAGATCAGCAGCAGTTCTGACTAGA